CGACGAATGCCGATGGCTTTCCCGGCGGCGGCCTGTAATGCATTATTTGCGAGACTCCAATTGATTCCGCTGAATATTATTATTACATTATTACGCACTCTCGGTTCGGCTCCCCTCCCCCCCCCCTCTCTCTCCCCCCTTTCTCTCTCTCCCCTCTGTGTCCGGCAGCGGGGACCCCTTTCTCTGTGGCACGGCCCTTCCAACACACGAACACGAGCCAGTCACACACACACACGGTTTCCTAATCAGAGGCTCTGCAATGTATTTTCACACACGTGCGTGATTTACGTCCAGTTTCGTTACCTATCGTGTACACATGCAATACAATATTCAGGCCTAATCAATGTCACAGTCACGTACAGAAATTTATAAATGAACTATAACGCCGCAAAGGCATTTTTTTTGTTGTTTTTTTTTTCTTTTTAAAATGAAAAATGTTTGCATTATTTCATACCTTTGTTTGTAAAACGCGCGCGCGCGCGCGCACACACACACACACACACACACATCCCGCTCAGCCAATGACGAAAGCCCGTCGCTCTGGACGCGCTGCTCAGAGATAAGCCGCGCGCGGTCGCCAGTGGCCGAGCCGGTGGCGTTCCGAACGGGGCGCGTCGTCGCTCTGTCTCTCTCGCACCCCACCGGCCTGCGGGGGACTGGGGGGACGCCCCTGGGAGTGCGAGAGAGACAGGAGACAGCTGCGGTGAAACAAGCGGCGGCCGCCATTCATTTTTCAGACCTCTTTTCACTTTTCATCCGCCGCTCTCCGCCGCAGTGGCACTGCCGTGGCGCTGCAGTGGGCCGCCGCCGCGCGCCAACGCCGCCAAAGACTTCCACTCCCCCGCGCCGGACAAAAAGGGACAAACAAACAATAACAATAACCGCCCTGGAGGTTGCTGTTGCGTTTCTCCTTGTTGTTGTTGTCGCGTCAGAATCTATTCCTCCCTCCGATTTTTCGACCATTTTTTTAAATGTAGTTGGGCCACGTTAATAAGGGCTTCTGACTAGGTTTGACCGCTTCGCCGCTGGCCGCGCGCCCGTCCAGTGAGTGTGTGTGAGGAGAGAGAAAGTAGAGAGTCAGACGAAAGGCCAGTCCGGTGTAAGAGGATTCCGATCACTTGCCGGCGGCATGCCCAACCCCAACCCCAACCAACCGACGGCCCAAAAGGGCCAAGAGGCCCAACCCCAATCCATCGCCGCCAGGTGGATAATCGTGGCTCTTTCTCCGCAGCTTCCTTCCCGTTCTCGCTTGTTGTTGTTGTTGTTGTTGTTGTTGTTGGCCGCGTCGCCGTCCGAGTGCCGGCGCCGCAATATGTCGCCGGACGGTTTCTGCGAGATTAGCCCGGACGAGACCGGGATATGGCAGCGTGTGTGGACCTTGGTCCGGCGGGGGGGGGCGGGGCGGGGCCGCCACTGTGCCTTGAGCACGGCCATCAGTCAGACCGTTATAGCTACGCCGGATTTATACGACGACAGCCACTGTGTGTGTCCGAGTGTGCGTGTGTGTGCGTGTGTGTGTGTGTGTGTGTGTGTGTGTGCGCGCGCGCCGGACAGTAACCGTGGCGCTTCTGGGGACCTCGCGGCATCAGCATGAGATGGAAAGGTCGATAAAACAATGATTGTCATCATTAATGAAAAGTTGGGCAAGTTGCCTTGCAAGGCGGGTGCAAGGGAGGCTGCGACGCGACCGACAGACGCCGAGAAAGATAAATAAAGGCAAACTTTGTATTTTTTTTTCTCCGATGGCGGCAGCGGAGGCGGAGCACCGAGGGGAAAACAAACACAATGCCGGTGGAGATGGGGAAGGAGAGGCGACGCAAGGCGAGGGCGGCGATGCCAGCAGACTGCCAGCGATACTGGCGAGGCGGGGCGAGGCTAGGGCGACGCTAGGGCGACGCCGCGCCGTGACGCTCCAACCGTTTTCAGTCATCGCTCGCACTTGCCATTTCGGCTCAAACTCGATTCCCTGCCGGGCCCCGCTGCCCCGCTGCCTCGCAGCCTCGCCTCTCTCCTCGACCTGAATCCTCAATCTCAATCTGAATGCATATCTGAAGACGCCGGGACGGCGGCCGGGCCGGGTCGCAGTGACTCTGTCCTGCTCTGTCCTCGTTGTCCACGGAGCACCCCGACGGACCGGCCGGGCGGCCGGGCGACCGCCGCCTGCGGACGGCGGGGTAGGCCGCCCGCCGCGCTGGCCTGCTCCACGGGCAGGCCCGCGCTGCAGGCTACCATTACCATTAAGGGCTGGCCCGCTCGCTGGGACGGCTCACCGCTCATTATCAGACAGACGCACGTCGCTTCAAGCCGCGGTGCGGTCGTGGAACAGGACTGGGATCAGACATCAAACGCACCGCGAAGCGTGCGGCGTGCTGCAATCGCTTGCTCTCGGAATGCAGGAATCTATCGGCGGGATCGCGGGTCGAGAGCGCAATGAGTGCGCCCTGTCGTTACCGACTGCGCCACTGCCAGCCACTGCAGCCACTGCACTGTGCGAGCTCGCTGTTTGACTATCGCCGCGTGACGCACTGGGACGGCCAGCGCGGCCAGCGCACTGTAATTGCCCCGTATAGTGCATCGGCGCGGCGTTACTCGGCCCGAGTTCGGGGCACGCTCGTAAAGATAGGGGACGCCCCGCCCCACCCCCGCCCCGTGTGTGCAATCGAAAAGGTTTTAATGCGTCTCCTTTGCATGGTTTAGTGCCCCGGTCGGCCCGGTGCCACAGTCATAACCCATAGTATTAGAAGCGTTTACGAAACGACCGAACCACCGCCGTTTTCATCCCTCGCAGTTTGTCGGTCGTTTTTTGGGGTTGTTGGTTTTTTGTTGTTGTTTTTTTTCGCTACTTTTGATGAGTGACTCAGTCGATCCCGCAGCAGGACGCACTATAAATCTTTAACGACTTATCCGCTACCCATCGCTGAATATACCGTCTCTCTCTCTCTCTCTCTCTCTCTCTCTCTCTCTCTCTCTCTCTCTCTCTCTCTCTCTCTCTCTCTCTCTCTCTCTCTCTCTCTCTCTCTCGCACCGCCCTTCTTCCCCGAAATGGACGGGTTGTGTTTGGGCTATCGGCGTGCGCCTAAGTGCCCTACTTTCGGCGGCGCTGTTCTGTTTGGATATTCAAATAGGGTTTTCCGGGGCCAGGAGGAGGAGGAGAAGAAGAAGGAGGAGGAGGAGGCGGGGCCGCGGCCTGGGCGGGGCGGGCGGTTAAAAAGACGTCAGGGAGTCTGTGCGGCGCTGAGGTGTACGGCCCGTACGGCCCCTGCGTCCACACACGCATGCCTTAATCAAGGACGGCCCCCGACGACCCCCGGACCCCCACACCCGAAGGGGCCCCCCGAGGGCTGGCGGGGCTGGCGGGGTGCACGGGCTGGTCCTAATGCCCTTTCCCTGCTTCGCGCCACGCAGGGCCACGCCACCCCCTCATTTCGGCCCGAAGCGAGACGCAACCTCATTCGGGTGTTCCGCGCGGGTACGCGGACCGGGGGGGGGGGGGGAGGGGTCTCCATCCTCCAAATTACGAGTAAGTGACTCGGCGAGACCGAGCGGACCGGACCGGACCGCGTGGTCTGAACAAGACCAGCCACGCCAGTGTACGCCAGTGGCTCGCCTCGCCGTCTCCCCGACCGCAGCGGGGCAGCAGTCGCTCTGGTCCGGCAGTCACTTTGACGCGGGCGTGCACCGCGTCCACCCGCCACCACCAGACTCAATCCGAGCGTCCGGCTCTCTCACACCCGCGCGGCGTCCCGCGTCGGTGCGAGAGAGACAGCGCGACGAAAACGACACGCAGTCTGCAGCCACCAGCGGAAACAAAAAAAAAAAAAAAAAATGGACACGATGCATGGCATGCTGGTGGTGAGGTTGGGGGGCGGTTGTTTGCGCTTGCGTGTGCATTTGGGTGGATTGATTGTAATGCAGAGCACACTCTCTGGCGCGGCGCGCGGTCAGCGTGGCGCGGTGGAGGGGGGAGCTCTCAATTAACCTGTCCCTTTCCCGCTGTAGATATGGACGTGGGCATCGCCCCCCCCCCCCTCCCCCTCCCCCTTGCGGCCTGCTCGCCGCTCACCGCACCCCCGGATGAATATAGCCCTCCGCGCCGTTATCCCGAACAGCTCCGTCTCTCTCGCACCCCCGCGGGACTACGGGCCGGCCCACGAGTGCGAGAGAGACGGAGCGAGCCTAGGCAGTGCAGGCGCCGGCCAATGCGCAGCTGCAGCGGGGTGATACCGCGTTGGCAGTGTGGGTGCGATGTCATGGAAATAGAAATGTCCGCCGCGTTCCTTCTCATTACTGCTCGCTTTTCGTCGAGCGAGACGCGCGGCACAGCTTTGGTCTCTCTCGAACAGACAACAACAGCATGGCCGGCCCATGTTTGCCTTTTGTTCTTGTTTGTTTTTGTTTTTTTGCGTGCGCGAATTGGCGGTAAAAATTAGCCGGAAGTCCCCGGGCTCCGCTGGGCTCCGCTGGGCTCCCTGCGCGAGAATTGGCCGTTACGGCGGTCCTTTATTTCCGCTGCTGCTCGTGGCTTGTTTAAGTATGGCGCGCCCCGCCCCGCCCCGCCCCGCCACCAATACAGACCAACAGTTAAGTGTAATGAGAGTGCCGCCCGCCGCGCCTTTTATCTTGCTGGCCACGCGAGCACCTCGAGTGGGGCGGGGCGGGGCGGGGCGGGGCGGGGCGGGGCCGTGTGGCGGAATCGAAAAGGGTCCCCCGCCCCGCGCACGCTGCGCACAGAATGGGGTCAGTGGAGCTAGACGCGCTAGACGCTAGACGAGTCTGAAGCCCTCAATCTCGGCCCAATCTCCAGCACAGCAAGCCGACGGCAGCGACGCCCAAATCGAATCATCCGCGACCCGCCAGGCCGCCGCTCTGTCTCTCTCGCACCCCGGCGGGCCGGCCCGCGAGAGCGAGAGAGACGGCGCGGAGCGGCCGAATACCTGTCAGGCAGCCCCCATTCTCCTCCTTGTTTACCTCGTCTAACCTCGCTTGTTTGCGTGTTGCAGACCAGCGCGACGACTCGACGACCGAGGTGGTGTCCAAGACGCGCGGGCCGCGCGCCTCCAAGTTCATCGTCACGTCCAAGATCCGGCTCACGCCCACGCACCAGGACGACGGCACCAACTACACGTGTGAGGCGCGCCACGACGCCGTCAACAAGCCCATGCGCGCCACCGTCACGCTGTCCGTGCTGTGTGAGTACACTGTCAGCCCCTGCCTGCACTCTTGTTGTTGTTGTTGTTGGTCCCGCGCCCCGCGCTAATGACCAAGCCATGTCGAACGGTGACCAACGAACCCCCGTCCGGTCGATGCCAGACCGCCAGCCGCCAGACGGCACGCCGATTCCGTCTCTCTCGCACTCCAGCGGGACGTGCCGTGAGTGCGAGAGAGACGGAACGACGAATGGAACGCCGATGCTGCTGCGTGATGGCTCGGCGACCGGGGCTCGTGGACCCTCCACCCTGCATACAATCAGGGATTGGCGGGCGTCCTGAACTGGTCGCGCGGATAAGAACGTGGTTTTTCATAGACAGGAGGCCAGGGTTCGAACCCTTGCGCGATCTTTTTTTTTTCCAAAGGGAGGGAGCAGACCTATGCATGGTCCTGGATACAGAACATTGAATTCCGCATTGAGGTTGAGATGACACACTCACACACACACACACACACACTGCACGCACGCATCGCGCACGCGTGCACACAGAGGGGCGGTCCGATTGAAACGTTTTGAAGGGCTGTGGCGATGACGCGGGGAGGGGGGGGGGGCGGTCCAGGCGACATCACTGGGAGTGGACTGTAGTGCGTTGCAGTGATGGCCAGCTCTCTGCAGCGGGCTGATTCCGCAGAGCCTGTCTCTCTCGCACCCACGGAACGCCCCGTGAGTGCGAGAGAGACAGAGCAGCCACGGCCACGGCACGGCCAGGCCAGGCGTGGCAGTTCAAAGCGATGCTGCTCGCTGCGGGATGATTCCAAACAGAGCTCTGTCTCTCTCGCACCCCTACGGACCGCCCCGCGGTGCGAGAGAGACGGCACAGCGAAAGCCCGATGCCGTGCCGATGGGTTTGTTTCGGGAGTGGGCTGGGAGGTATGCACGCGGCGCGCGTACACATACACACACACACCACACATGCACTCTGACGCTCGGTCGTTACCGGCGCTTGTGACGCCATATAAGGCCATGTGGTTATGGACAAGCAGCCCCGCAGCACAGCTCTCGGTACCCATTGAATCCGGGGGAAACTGTGAAATCCGTTTTAGGGGCCCGCCCTCGTAAACAGGCCAGCGACTCGCAGTCCCAGAGCCCAGGGCGCAACAAAATTCACAAACTGTAGTAAAGTTGCACCGAACCGCACGGGATCTTGCTCGCCGTTTAGGTGACGGGCTCACGCGCACTCACACATAAACAGGCTCTTGTAAACGAAGTATTCCTTCTCAATGGTGCCTAGGGGGAAGGACCACTACTCAGTGGGCCAGAAGACCGGTGGAGGCGGCCAAAATTCTAGACACGTTTTGAGTTCCAGAGTCGCTAAATGGAACCGAACCGAACGTGTGACCCCACCAATGGATTCCTCGTTCGGAGAGCAATTCATTGGTGGGGTCACACGTTCGATTCGACGTTGCTCTGACCCCGCCTTCGCCTCGCTTGCAGACCCGCCCGGCGCCCCCTACATCGAGGGCTTCGACAGCAACGTGGTGCAGCGCGGCCGGCAGCTGGAGCTCATCTGCAAGAGCCGCGGCGGCAACCCCCTGGCGCAGCTCATCTGGTACAAGAACAACGACCCGGTGCACATGAAGTACTTCACGCACGACGCCATCTCGGAGAGCACCTACACCTTCACGGCGGACGCGTCCGACAACAACGCCGTGTACCGCTGCGCCGCCACCAACATCATGAGTCAGAAGCCGCAGTCGGCGCAGGTCACCGTCACCGTCGAGTGTAAGTCCGGCGCCATTAAAAAAATTAAGAAAATTTAAAAACCAAAAATTAAACAATAACAAAATTTTTGTTGTTCCCCGCAGTCCCGCCCACGCACGTGGTCATCAACGGATCGGGCGAGGCGCGCGTCGGCGACGTGGTGCCGCTGACGTGCACCACGGACAACTCGAACCCGCCGGCCGAGATCCGGTGGACGGTGGGCGGCAAGCAGGTGCACAACGCCACGTCCAGGAGCGTGCTGTCCAAGGACGGCGGCTGGATCACCACCTCGGACCTGGTGACCTCCATCCCGCCGGGGCCGCGTTCCATCATCGTGGTGTGCCACGGCCTCAACATGGACACGGCCGTGGGCACGCACACCATCGAGGTGCAGTGTACGTACACCCAGTGGGACCACTGCACTGTGGGCATTCCCCTCCCCCCCTCTCTCTCTCTTTCAGGCCGAGTGCAGTGCAGGGCACTTGTTTCAACGAATCCCACCTCCCCCCACCCGGTGGTTGAAAGTGTTGTTGGTGTTTGCAGACCCTCCGAGTACCCTGATGATCCACGGATACAAGCAAGGCACGAACATCGGCGCGGGCAGCCGGCAGCGAATCACCTGCGTCTCTACCGGCGGCAATCCACCTGCCACCCTCACCTGGTACAAGAACGACAAGAAGGTACGAGTTTATGTTCACCACGATTTTGACACTCTTGAAAGATGCGTTACTCTTAGATAATTTTTTTTAAGCTTATCGTTACCTGTGGTGCTCTTTGTCTTTTTCAGATAAGTTCCACTTCAAAAATCCTCGACAAGTCAGTGTCTGCCGAGGTGGATTTTATTGCCAACGCCACAGACAACGAAGCACGCTACAAGTGTGAAGGCACAAATAAGGCAACTGAAATACCGTTGACTGAAGAGCTCAAGCTCAGTGTTCTCTGTAAGTAAATAATGGTGTCTTTTAGGGATCTTTGCTGAAAATTTTGGGGAATGTGATGACAATGTCTTGACTTTTCCTGTTTTACCAGTTCCTCCAGACCGAGTGCAAATAAAGCGAGAGCCAGCAGTATTGAAACCCGGTCAATCTGCCACTTTAACTTGCGACTCTTCCTCTAGTAATCCTCCAGCTGTTTTAACTTGGTGGAGGGATGGTATTCCTGTGCTGGTGAGTATTTCTCCTCAACTGCCAATTTCATTAATGTTTCTCACCTTGAAATTTTTATGTATTTTTTTTCCTATGTGTAGGGAACTACCAACTCTTCATCTAAGGGTCTGCATGGTGGCACGGTATCCACCGTCAAAGTGACTTTGGATGTAACTGCTGATCTGAATGGTATTGTCTACACATGCCAAGCTATGAATGAAGTCCTGCAGCGGAGTGTACATGACGCAATTACATTAGATGTTTTATGTGAGTTTCAATTATTGTTGACTCTTAAAATTGTGCTCTGTCATCACATAAAATAATTTTCCGGTTTTTCTTTTTCAGACAAACCAATTTTTGAAAGTGAGCCTGTTGAGTCCTTCAATGGAGTTGAAGGCCAACCTATGCTCATAGCTCTTCAAGCTCATGGAAATCCATCCAATATGACATATATTTGGAAAAAGGATGGCAAGGTTCTCAGTCAATCTTCTGAGAGTCATTCAAGAGTTCTCATTGATGGACCAATGCTCAACATTTCATCCCTCCATAAAGACGACACTGGTGCCTACACTTGCGAGGCAGTGAACAGTGAAGGCACTTCCAGCACTCATATCAACATCAGTGTCAACTGTAAGAAACTCTCCTTTTTTCTGGTGCATATTGTAATGTGTATTATTTTTCTTATTCTCATAATTGTTTCTTTTTCTCAGATCCTGCTAGAATTATTGGTATTACAACAGACACACTTGTGTCAAATGGAGAGGATGCTCAATTGAATTGCACAGCAGATGGAAACCCATTAAAAGTTGATCATGTCACTTGGCGTAGAGAAGGTTTCTCCGACATGGCATCGAGAACATCAACTGTTTTCCGAAATAATACATCAGTCTTAACTATTCTCAAAGCAACCAAAGAAGATATTGGAGCATTCCTCTGTGTTGTTAACAATGGCTTGGGGAATGAAACATCAGCTCCTGCTTACCTACTTGTTAAACGTATGTTTGCCCTAAATATCTTTCCCTAGTTTTGGTTTGCATTTCTGTTTTACTGCTGCATCATTATTTAAAATTGTCTGTTTTTTCCACTTCAGATAAACCAGACATTGATCTGTCTCCTGTACTTGCCAAGGCGGCTGCAAATGTTGGGGATACTGCAAGATTAACATGCCGTGCGAAGGGTGCACCAGATATTCAATTCAAATGGTCTAGAGATGGAACTGCCATACCTGCAAACACCACCAAAAAATATTCAATTAACTACCTCAAGGTATTTTGTTCTCTGCCCCTTACTCCAGCCCCTCTCTCATCAATTCAAACAATACTTGAGATTAATAAATATTCTGTTTCAGGCTGATGTTCTCACACATGAATCAGTTCTTCTAGTCCACAAAGTGGAGCAAGCAGATTTTGGACAGTATCAATGTACTGCACAAAACGAAATTGGCTTTTCCACTAATTCTGTTGAGCTTGACATTACATCAAAACCAGACCCTCCGACGAATTTGAATGCAAATGAAACGACACACAACTCCATTACCCTCTCCTGGGTTCCTGGGTTTGATGGTGGCTTGCCTACCACATTTCGAATTCGGTATAAACCATCAGGTTCGGCAAACGAAGCCTATCAGTATGCAGATGTGACACCATCCAATGCTTCAACTTACGTTGTTCGAAATTTGGACCTGGCTACGGAGTATGTTTTCTCTGCTATGGCTCTGAACAAACGAGGTCCAAGTGATTATGCTGGCCATTTGAAGGCACATACAACAAGTAAGCACAATTACATGAATGTTTATTGTTATGAAGTAATTAAATTTTTTCATGAGACAGTGAAGTTGTAATATTTAATCCAATGTGGCGTGATGCATGATTCATAGAAAGTTTAAAAGAACTTTTTCATTCATCGATATTGTTCTTATAACAATAACGATGGTGGATTTCTGGAAGTATTCTGACTCTAATACATGATCCACTGCATTTTTAAGTCAGTACTTACTAGGCAAATTTGATTTTTCTCATTGTGGCCATCTTGCACAGATGAAGCCCCTCCTCCGGTACCTGCTGGAAGCAGCATGAACCAAGGTCCATGGATTGTTGTTTCGGTTGCTGTTGGTGGTGTTGTGGTCGTCCTTCTGAATGTGCTGCTCATAAGCTGTTGCTTAAGAAAGCACGCCCGAAAACGACTGACTGGTGAGTTTCCATTTTCTTTAGTAGGCTCAAAAATGTTCCTATTGTTTTACAGATGGTGCAGAAATGTTATCTGAAGAACTTTTGGGTAGAGCAGACCTTCCTCGACTAGTGGTTGTGAGTGTAGCCATCACAGGATCAATCCTCCTGTTGCTCAACATTTTGTTAGTGGGCTGCTTTATGTACAGGAAACGTAGACAAAGACTACGCGAAGGTGTGTTAAAATTTGCAATGACTTGCAGCACAATTTTTGGGTCCTGCTGGTGGTGGTTTTGCTGAGCTGCTGTATATGTGCTATTGGCATTCTTCGGTGATGTGATGTGGTGTGGAATGAGTGTTGTGGACAAGCCCCCTTGTTTCTCTATCTTGCCTTCCCTGAATTTTTTCCTACCTATGAATGCCTGGCTGAAACTCACGCAGCGTTGTCGGACTAAACCTTTAAAAAAGGTCAAAATATCCTCGCTTCAACTTTAGTCGACAATATGCTAATTTTGCTTTGGGTGATTGTCTCCTTGTTTCCCAGGTGCTGGTGATCCTCCTTGTACTTTTCTTTCCCATGTCTTCCCTTTTAACATGTCAATTATTGGTGCCAATGGCTTGCTGCAAAGCTTTCATCTTCTGTGCGTCGTTCTTTCATCCTACCATTGGAATCACACTGTGCACTGTACACTGTGCATTGTTGACTGTTCAATGCTTTTCTTTCATGCTTCTATTGTTTTGTCATTATACAATGCATAAGGCCTGAAACACAGGTTTTTTTTCCATGTAACTTAAGAAATTTTTTTTATTTGTTCTTACAGCAAGTGAACAGAGTAGTAGCAAATCTGCCACAATAGAAATGTATGCTCCAAGTAGTTACAATGAAACGGTGACTGGAGAAACACTCAGCTCAGTTTCTGAAAAAAGTGAAAGCTACTCAAATGCTGATAGCAATCCTGACTACTTGGTGAGAAAACAACAGGTGAAGAGGACTTTTACTACACTACATATCTGTGTTAGAATGTCGTGTAGTGAAAATATTGTGATGAGCCTGAGCATGAAGGACACTCTAGTATATATTAGGAGCTACTCCTATCTTTTATTTCTTTTATAACTGCTTACAGTAGACATTTCTTTTTCAAATTTTTCCTGAGTTCAATTTTTTTTCTAGCATCATAGTTATGTTATTTTGCATCTATTTTCAACCCAAGACTATGTTCATTAAGAAAATTCTAAGTTCACACATTAAAATTATTTTGTGCCTTTCTTGCTTTGTCTGCCATGACAGCCCCTTCATGGTTTTATTTTAACTGCTTAGGTAGCAGTAAATTTCAATAATTTCAAATTTGCATACTTTTACTAACTGCTTTCTTTTTTGGTATTGCAGGAGGATGGTAGGAAACCTGCTGCCAGTACATATCTGATAGACCAGATAGACTATCCCTTCGAGTACTGTGGATTTGAGATGCAACATCAACATAATCATCAGCATCCAGGTCATCCTCACCCTCATCCTCATCCCCATCCACACCATCACATTGGGAATAATACTTTAAAACCACCACATACTGACTCAGTAAACTCAGTCAACACTGGGACCCTCAGGAAGCATCAGCCAAATTATAACAATCACAACTCTGGAGGTAAGTCTAATGAAGTATTCTTACTCCTAGGAAAAGTAACACTCGCAAAGGCGTCACGGTTTTGTGACACTGACGTTTTGTGTGAGATCTATTACTGTAGTTCGGAAACCAATTTTTTATTTTCACTTTCAGGAGTGCAACCAGGTGGTGATCCATTTTATGGAATATCCCCTGATGCTAGATATATTGCCTATCCACCACCAGCAGAATTTTCACAACCGACGGGCAATGGAACTCTGCGCAGGGGACAGCATTTAGCACCAATGGGAACGGGTCCCGTAGGAGTTCCCCCTGACGTTACTGTCTTGCACAACCCTCCAATTCCTCCTCCTCCTTTGTTGTCAACATTCAGTTATCCAGCAGCAATGGAAACGGAAGGTCATTTAGTGTGACCAAGCGAAAACTGTGATGTGGGTGGTGAAAACCCATCCCACATTGTCTTTCAGCTAAGACTGTGATCCTAGTGTCTATCCACTGCCACAAACCAAACTGTTACAATCTTTTACATGGACTATTGTGGTGTAACGTGTTCATGTTTGCATGTTGGTGGAAAGACACGATTTTGCTGATGTGGCTCTTAAATGTTGGCTAGTTTGTGATCTGTTAAAGGAATGGTTTGGTTGTTTTAATAGGTCTTTGCCACATTTTTGGCAAAGATGTATTGAAAAGCTCATTTTAAAAAATGTAGGTGGTTCTATATGGGACTGCCCTCAAAAGAAACAGGGTTTTTTGAAAACATATTGTGTTTTATTATTATTATGATAATTATTATTTGTTTTTTTTTTCTAGGATACATGTACAAATTTAAAAAAAATAGATAGGGATTTTCTATTAAGTATTTTTCCATTTGATGTATTGCTAGTAAATTGAGAGCCGGTGAACCATTTCATTGCTATGAGGATCATGAAGCCATTTCATCCCAAACTCTGATCGTGTTCTTACCTCTGTTGATTTATCACATTGTTTGAACATTAAGTTTACAATCTTCTTTTGATTTGCATCAGCATGTGATCAAATGATACAAGATACTGAACTGATGTGTGTTATTCTTATGTGTTATTTGCTCACAAGGAGGCAAATTCATTTCTGTAGATAGTAGTTAATTCAGATGTGGTGCTATTCTGTCAAAAAGTACAGTAAATCCATTCAATGTACAGTTACTTTAAGGTTTGTTGTGTACATAGACATTTTCCAGCTACGACTGGATGGACAAAAATGCACTTGAATTCAAGCAGTGAAACAAGTGAAGACATATTCAAAAGTAACCTTTTAAAAAATGTATTATTTTCTCATATTGTGAGTGTTTTGAGTGCGTGAGTGAGCTAGTCTTCAATGTATACCAAAGCTGTGGGTCAGATAAATGTCAGCAGGTGACTTATTTGTAGTGATTTGTCTTGACATCCATGAATTTCACTAGATGCAATACCTGGCATATTGGCTAATGCCGTCTGAGCAATCTTGACCAATTAATTTAATTGCCTTCAGGCAACCTTTTTATTTTATTTGAAAAAGATTGAAGGAAATGAACTAATTAATACTCCTTTGAAAATAAAATGTGAGTGGAGGAAGAGCAGCAGCTGTATAAATGTGGCACAAAACTCTCTGCTGTAGTTAGTATATCCTCAAGGTTTAAAATGAAAACTATCTTTCAGATACCTCACAAAGGCATATTCCCACCCAAGATCTTTTCTGTTTCTTTGCCGAGACACTCCTGTAACAAATTATTTCACTCTCTGCCTTTTCCGATCTTAAAATAATACTATTAATAATACCTCAAAAGAAAGAGCATCTGTAGTGAATGTAAGTAGAAGAAATTTTTAACTCAGCAGCCATGGTATTGCTAATTTTCTGAATTTTATACAATAAAGAGATTCATGTGATAATGATGTTTTCAAGAAATTGCCTGGATAACTTTGAAACTTCTGTTATATCATCCAGTTTCATGCAGGTTCTAATAAAATGTATATCTGTATCTGTAAGTGTATAAATTAGATCTGAACTGTATAGTGCTCCTTCAAATATGCACTGCCAGCTTCAACTTTGCTGAGACCTAATTTGAAATGACTGCCAATTGTCCTGAGTGTTAAATACAAAATGTTTGTTTGTGATGTTCATCACTTTCTAAGGCATTAATTGATGAGATAATACATACAGCCAAGTGTTACAATTGCATTATAAAGTTTTTGATCTCATCTATTTTATTCCATGAAGTATAACATGGTGTGTCACATGCACCCAAGGTGAAGAGCTCTTTACTTGTTTAAGTTTGCCTCCTGTTATTTTTTACCTCAATTTACATTGTACTATACTCCCCTGGAGTAAAAAATTAAAAAGTCACAAGTTACATGCTTTGTTGTTTTGTTCCTTGTCCCCTGCCCACATTTATGAACAAATCAAATCAAATCAAATCATGAACTCAGCAAATGTTCTTTGGCACTCACCAAATATTTCCAAAATACACCGGCATTCAAGACTTGTTTGGAAGAGGTCCTGACTAGAGTCCTAGCAAGGCCTGGGAAGGAACCAAAAAAAATGGACATTAACTATTATAAAGAAAGGTCCAAAAGGAACCTATAATTTTATTGAAAGTATAGTCATAACAGGATACAACAATATTCAAAGTGTTTCTTTCATATGCTGAGTATAACCCACATCATATGCAAACAGGAGGAGATTTCATCATTTTCCAAAGAACATAAACAGCATAAGGAGTGACTTGATATTCTCTGAAAGTTCATGTTTTAAAACAATGGCAGGATATCAAGTCTCATGACAATTCTAAATTTAATTGTTCTCTGCCATAGCAATTTCATTCCAGTCATTTAAGTTGCAAACATCCCATTGGGCAAAGAACAAATGATGGCATGATGTTATACACAAGTTCAAGTTCCCCAAAAATAATAGAAAATTACAATGCACTTTTGTTTACATGGCAGTGACAAGAATAGTGTTCATCTACAATTAAAACAAAAATATGCATCATGGAAACATCATTGTTGTAAAATATGTCAATCTAAAAAATGTCTCTAAGCAAGTGGTCAGATGAAATCTTTTACAAATGCCAAATAGCATTTATGCCATGTAAACAGTAACAAAATTGTAAGTGGTCTTACTGGTACAACATACCCACATATTTCACTGGCACAAACAAATCTTCTCCAGAAACAATACCCAATTTAAGTCGACCTTAGATAATGATTTAAAAAAAGCCATCTGCAAAGCAATGTAAGGTAAGCAACAAAAGTATATCAGATAAGATGAAACTGAAAGAATGCATTAAGATTCAATTTAAGCCACAATTAATGCATCATTTGTACAACTGCAAATGATAGGTTGCAGGCAGAATTCAATGCCAACACAATTCACTAATGGACAAAATGAAACAAAACAACTGTAGACTATGACGGTCAACATAATTTGTAAACAATTCAAACACTCAATTCACTTCGATTAAGGCAAAATATACGCAACCTCAGCAAGTAATGGGGAAAATACACTAAGCAGAATACTGAAAAAAAGGAACAAAACATTCTTCATCACTATTGAAGCATAACAAATCTCATTACAAAAGTGAAAAAGGGTTTTGTACATATGTTAATAAGCAAAAACAGTGTTTTAATAATATATAAAACAAAAACAGACTGAATCGAATCATTCTCCTATTTGCTGAAATTTGAACAGGTGTTCCTGTTCTGATGAAAAAGCACTTCTTCCCTTCATTCAGGCACCAAACTAATGATGTTAGTACATTAGTTAAGGATGAACCAAATTATTACAGAAAGAAATACAAGTGACACAATGGATATACATACATCAGACTTGGCTTGTCATTGTGACTTCAGCAACAAAGAATCTATCAACAGTAGTTAATCATTTCCGCAATCAATCAATTATTTACACCCAAAGGTAATAAAAACGCACATGCAGATACATGGCCACAGTCTCCCTTCCCCAATACTAGCTATAAAAGGTCACAAAGGACCACAACAATCATCATTGGCTTTTCAGCTCTTTTCCAATGCTGTAAGAAACAATCTTATTCCAATCAATTTTTGTTCGAGTGACTGGTAACTGGCGCCGAAGAGCCTTGAAAGTTGTGTCTGACATAGTTTGGTAATTTTCAGAAATGGCTGTTTGATACTCATTCTCTGCTTCTTCCACAAGCCGAACGAATTCCTTTGCTGTCTGCTGTTCATTCTGGAAAAAATTTGAAAAGGTAGCCTTAAGAGTACAATATAGACCAATAGAGGGAGATTCATTCCAAACTGAGGGCAAGGGAACCAACCGTTATTGTGAGAATTTCCTCTTTCACATCCTTGGAGCTCACCAGCTGCACGTTTCCATCTTCATAATAATGAACCTGTACCTTCAAGATTCCTCTCACTTCTGCACTTCCAGATGAGAAGGTAACAGACCATTGGGATCGCCATCGACCATTCCTGAACATTGCAAAATAAAGATTAAGATGAGTATAGATCGCAATCATAAGTAAAAAGCAAATACAAAGATATTCAGAATAATTTTTGAAAGCGCGTTTTACCAGTAGTTTTTGGGTTGGAACTGATGGTCCTCTATACATGCTGTAAGAGTTGTAGCACCATTCTGGCTCTTTGAAAACACACTGCAAACTCCATGCTTATAGTGAGCGTTTGTATAGTTTATGAACTCTGTTTCAAGAGCAGCTCTCCATGATTCAGAGGCCGCATCTGGTTCCCAAGCCTAAAATACAAATTCATTATAGATATAGGAATGGATATCAAATATTAAAAATTACAAGAGAAAACATAAAGAAGCAATACCTGAAAGTCTGAAGCTTCTCTTCGAAGATGATCATACTTAAAGCTCTGTCTAGAGCGTGCATCAAAGAAACGATTTGAGCCCAAATCATTGTGCTCAGTGATAAGCACCTGGTGATCAGCATTTTCAATTTTGACAGGTGTCAACTGGTCCTTGTTGTATTGTGCAAATGCCCTGCATAGTCACAAAATAAAGTTAGGTTCTTAAGTCAGCACATACAGAAAAGTCAATACTGTTTCAGATAATGCATACCCTGATGCTCCTTCTTTCAACAGTGTGTCATTATGAAGCAATACCCTAACATCTGAAATAGAGAACGAGGAAGGGTATTATGGCTTCAGGGCAAAAAAGGAAAGAAAAATTGTGATGCTAATAGAAAAATTAACTAATAAAACTTACCATTAAAGACTTCATTGAATTCTCCGGGTGGAGAATGAAGTATAAAATCTGATACGACTCGAACCTACAAAACACAAACATAGACAGAATGGACTATGAGATGAATGAGCAGATTCACCCTTTGTGTTAGTGCTTTCGAGTAAGAGTTGAAAATACGTCTCTATCCGACCAAGTTGACGTAAAAGTCCCATCACGTTTTTAAAAACAATGCTCTACTTTGGGGCCGAACCTGTTGTGTTGTGCTTGTAACTGACGGCACCGACATAGTCGGGCTTTCGTTTTTTGTTTAGTTTCTGTTTATGTGAGAGAGGCCCAACCGAGAGAGTGCGACACAGACCACGTCATACGGGCAGCGTTATTAAGGGCGAGATAGTCTGACATCACACAAATGCCAAACCCACTGATAACATACTGACTCAACCCAAATAGGGCTAGGCCCCAGACTCCCGTAACATAACCCTGACGCGGCATCACCGTTTCGCCGATTGCGACAAGCATCTTGGTCTGTTATGTCTACTTAAATCGTAATAGCAGCTAAATGTGCACAGAATGAAGTACAGTCAGTGAATTTACCTTTTCTTGGTCTGAAATTGGTTCATCACCGTCCGCCGCCATGTTTGCCTGCAAACGTCGAGTCGAATGCGAATGTGGAGTGACGACTTTGGGGGAGTCACCGCAAAAAGTTACTGATTGAGGTTCAGATTTGGAAGTACCTCTTTACTTCTCATAATCCATGGCAAAGGTGAAAGACTTTCGTTTATGTTTGGTTCTATGTTGAAAGTTTTCAAGAACCCCAAGGAAAAGAACTTCAAATAAAAAACAATCCTTCAATATGCTAGATTAATGCCCTCTGTAAATGATTTAGTACCCTTCCAAATGTGAGCAATAGATTTTTCATACAAGAACGAGTGTGGTGCCACAGTGCTAAAAATTTTCATCCGAAAGTGTATTGTGTTGCAGCTATCTATGCATCATTCTAGAGAAAACATTAGAAACTCTATTATTTTAGTTTTCAGTTCAAAGACACGGAGAAAATGTCTCATGGCCCACCCATGTTGCCTCACGACGCGAGTGTCAAGATCACAGTTGGTACTAAACACACCGTACAGTGCAGTGCGTCTGCGCGCGCGCTCGAGGGGTGGTGTTGTGTTGAATGAATGTTGACCTGTGTCCAAAATCTTTTGTTGTCGTCAGCATTTTAACTTTTCGCTTTGTTCAAAGAACCGTTTAGGCTTTAGTTTAGGACTTTGGACATCTAAGCCTGTATCTGACTCTTCGTTTGTCGCATGTGTTATCAGCAGGTGAGGAATTTTGGTGGAGGGCTTAACCTCCCTGTGTCATGTCAATATTTCTTTTCTCCCCAAATGTGACCCAATATGTGTAGCTGTTTTCCTTTCACGTAGAACAAAACTATCTAAAGTCGTATTGGGGTCATATTAATTATTAAAAATGTTTGTCATCTCTTTCATACTTCGTAAATCTGGTTGAAATAAACCTCAATCTGTACTAAGATGACAAGCACTATGGTCCTGTTGTGGAGAAATTAATTTTTACAAAGAACAATTTTGATGGGTATTATTCCTTTAATTCCTGTCTTTTCTTTTCTACCTTTTGTCAACCCAGCTTCTCAGCTGCACTTGATTATACTCGACTCGATTAGGCTATTTATAAATTCAAGCTAGATGTATTCTAATTATTCTGTTCATATATGTGTCTGTTGTTATAGAACCTCTACATTCTTGCCCAGTTTGTCTCCAAACTAACCTAATTTTCTATTGTTTGAAGGGTTTTCAGCAAGAAGATGTCGTCAGAGCCAGTTATTCTCAATGTTTATGATATGGTAATTTTCTAAATGATGCTTAGTCATTTATCTCTTTGAAAGCAGTGATTTGACTCTTTATTTCATTCCGTTTTTCAGTACTGGACCAATGAGTATACTACTCCTATAGGATTAGGAGTATTCCACTCTGGTATACAAATATATGGCATGGGTGAGTTGAGTCATCCAACCTATTAATAATAAATATTCACAGCTTCCTGTTGATAATCATTTTCAATTAAAGTCCTGCTCTTGACTCAAAATTTAAACTTTAACAATTATTTCAGAATATGCTTACGGAGGCCATCCCTATACCTTTTCCGGTGTGTTTGCAATTGCTCCACGTGATGCAGAAGAATTAGGAGACCAATTCCAGTACAGGTAATTTCCACTTTTATAGTTGTTTGACCTAAAGGATTTTTTTCGTTACAGTTTTTATTTGTTTATTTCAGGCAATCAGTTCATGTTGGGTACACAGACTTTACTGAAAAAGAAGTAAAAAAAATAATTCAAGAACTGGGAAAAGACTTCCGTGGGGATCGTTATCATCTTATGAATAAAAACTGTAATCATTTCTCTGGGGCATTAAGTCAGGTAAGCTCTTGTCATATTCAAAATAATAATAATACCAAAACAAAGTTTGGGAAATAAATTCTTGTCCTTTATTCAGATTCTCTGTGGCCGCGACATTCCCTCATGGGTCAATAGACTGGCATACTTTAGTTCTTGTGTGCCTTTTCTTCAACGGTGCTTGCCGAGAGAATGGCTGACTCCGGCAGCCTTCCAGCAATATAGCACACCAAATGCCCTGCAGCACACACTTAGTGCACGTGATAACAGTCCTGATGGTCCTTCCTCATAACATGAGGCTGCTGGGGCGGATCATGAAACACATCCTCTCTATGAAGATGACACTCAGTCCGTCTCCCAGCTTCCCTTGCTGTACACCCATGATCAGCCAAGTTCATGGCTGGGCAACCCCAAAGAACCACTGCCGTCCAGCTCTAACGTCAGTGATGAAGATTGAATGTACTTCTGTGTTATGCTTAAGTGGGTAACAGGAATGTTCAACATATATTTCTGTGTTATATTAAGTGAAGATGTGATTGGGTTATGAAAAGAGTGCTTCCAGAGGAGTACAAGAAGCACAACATTAAAAACTTTCAAAAACTTGAATCAAAACTTTCCTGTAAGTCATTTGTATAGTATTAAGCCTGTTGTCTCACATTTTTATTCTATTTTCCTGTTTGGTTTGAATGTTTTTAAAGCTTGTGTGGGACTCCTTCGGAAAAAGTGTTTGTGCATGAAGTCTACTATGACCTGATTCCCTTTTTTCTCTGAACCCTGAAATATTATTGGTTAATGGTGAAGCAAGTATTTCCCTGCAAAAATAAAAATTACTTGTTATCTTGTTGTAAGAAATTCTGCACTCTTGTGCAGTTAAGTTTTAAGAAACGATCATTCATCTTATATGGCCCTGTTTTATCATACCTTTGTTGATAACTCCCCCTTTATTACATAACAAAACAATTTTCCTTATGGTTTCTTTCATAAAAAGTGATCAATTTTTTTTTTATAATGTTATACCATGGTGCTTTTTGAAACTGTTGGGAAGATATCTTTGGGATTTTTCCAGACTCTAGGTATCTGATGTCATCATAACTCTTGTTTGACATTCTGTAGAAATATTTCAATTGATGTATCAGCATGTTGTCACTATTTGTATTTGTCAGGAGATGTGTTAATGCTTACTACGTATGAAATTTAGTGTTGTTGAGTCTTTGCTGGCCGCTTTTTATGTGCCACTGTAAAATTATTGCCTTATCCTAGGAATTAAAATTTGCTCTTCAAATTTGACCTCAGATCTCAATTTTTCTTGCCACTTCCTTTTTTAAAAAATTCAAAGTTCACATTTACTATGTCAGTGATTCCTCCCTGTGAAGAGGAATGCTTTGGTTTGAGTCTGTAGTTCTCTCAAATATTTGTATGTATTTAAGTTATTCATGAATCATCATAGCGTGACAGGTGACATTTTGAGACAAGCATTACTGTAGACTCCTTTGAGAGAACCGACTGCTTTTTTATTATTCAATAATCTGAGTGCGAATGAAATAAACCTTGCCTCTGTCTATGAATGAACAAACAGTTATAATTCCACATTACTTGAAGTTTTTGTGATTCTGTATATTTGGTGCTTTATAATCACTAGTTACTTACTGTACAATTGGATTTGATACGGAGGTGGCTATGCCTTGCCTAACTTTGTGTTTCAACATTTTTTGTAAAAAAAATTTGCAATATCAGCACAGTACGTTTGTATTTACTTTACAGGTACAATGTACATAATGTGAATTGTTCTTGTCATGGATCCTTGTATAACTAGTGGCAACCTGAATGTAGAAGGCATAACTGAAGGCAGAGTTCAAGTTTCCAGAATTAAAGTGTTGTATTCAGAGCCAAAAAGATTGATTCATTTTTACAATTTATTTCTTTTTCAGATCTAGATGTTTTAAACCAAGTCTGAACCCTGTCTGACCACTGAACCCCATGAAGGTTGAGTCACGTTTCGTCAAGAATGCATCAACATAAGCCACATCAGTGTGGGTCATGTTGATACGTCATCTTGGCTTACAGTGATTCTTACTTTTGCTCCTCCCTGCTGTGATTAAGGAAATGCAAGGATAAACACAGAAACATTTACAAACGAAAACAACGAAAAAATTTATAAGATATCTTTATTTAACAACTCGCTTAGCAGTAGATAAAATTAGGAGGAAGAAAGTTGATGTACAAAGTCCAAAAGCTGTACCATCACACAAAGTGTTGCGACTCCACCTATATGATTTGATGGCAGAAACTCTCTGCCTGGGCAACATTATTTTAATATTAAAGGAAAGCATGCCTTTGAAAAACCAAGGATGTAACTGATCTCAGCAAATGTGTTTCAAAAATACAAATATCAAAAGTTTAACTTTAAAAATGCATGCAATGTACAAACAAATTAAGCATGAAGTCAAAGCTGATACAGCTATGAAACTGTAGAATGCAAATTTTGTTCAATACAGAACAAAATTCCATTTCTGCAAAGAGCATGGCAAAACATGTCCCCTTAACTGCTCAGTTATGAGGTGTCTTCAATTAGTCTTGTTTTCAAGTGCGTCCAGGACACTATTCAAAACAAACTACTTATACTGTAGTTAAAAGAAATAGCATAAATAGAGAGGAAAAGAACATGTACACAGAAATCACAATAATTATTAATGAAAACACTCATCATCCCTTCTCCTCACATAACCACCTCTGTGACAATGCAAAAGTAACAAAACAAAAATTCTTAACAGATGTAAGTCAATGTTTAGACGGAGTCATTCTGGCATTTTTTTCAGAAGTCAGTCATACATCTGTAGAAATTTTGTTCCTGACAACACTGAAAGCTAAGCAAGAAGAAGCCACATAAGGATTAGGACCCTCCAACAATTCGAAAAGGCTCTTTGATCATGGAAGAAAATAAAACACAACTCGTGAAGCCAATACTTATCAGTGCAGTACAGACTTTGCATAGAATGATCTGGGTTAAGCAGCCTCAAAGTGAAATCACTGACATGACATCACATTTACATTTTACACAGTAAGTGAGTGGGTCAATCATCTATTTTAAGAGACTTTGAGGGGTTTCTACTTCAATCTCAAACTAAACAATTGATTTAAAAATAACTTGTGTACTCAATTTTCTCAAGTTCTTAAACAAAGCACAAAACAGAGAATTCCAGAATATGCAAAAAAAAATCTCTGCAAGATTTAAGTCAAACATATACCATAAGAAACATAATTAAGTATTACAACTTAATTAGGTTCAATTATAATCAGCAAGGCTCATTTCTAAAATCTTTTACAATATCAACACTGCACAACAAGTGTGCAACCAAAATTTAAGTTCAAAATATAGGATTAGTTATGGCATTAAAACAAAATCAACCACCTCAGCAAATCAAGACGAAAATTGACCAGAAATTCTGCATTTTTGGAGAGTTTCCTCACCTAAAGCTGCTGTCAAAAGAATAGGACTGATTTAAGATGAGATGATTGCCACTGCAACAATTTATGATCTATATAGGAAATGGGTTCAGGCATAATGCTAAATACTTCAGATCTTCCAGGCACATATATTAGGAAAGCAAGAAAACTGTGTCACTTACAAGGTTATTTCTGAACAAAAGTTTTGGCTCCTATTGGATTTGAGGTTTCATGTGGTAATAACAGTTAAGTTGAAACTTCATCAGTGCCAGTACATTTGGTCTATTTACATATTAACACTACACACACAAAATTAATGCACGGCAACAATTGTCAGAATACTCTAGTAGAATCGAACAGTCACATATTCAGTCTATGACTATTTACAGAATCTGCAATCACTTATAAACCCAGCAAAAAGAAAACAAATGATGGATGTAAAATTTTATTTCATTCCAAAAATTTACCATTAAATGTGATGTTTCACTGCTATAATAAAGCATTATATGCAGTCACTTTTGACCCCTATACTTGAAACAAAACTACTATTGCCTCTTCAGTTTAATTATTTATTATTATACATGTAACTGCAGCTTTCTTATGTAATATGTACAGAGCCATACAAAATGAATAGAAGATTGCTCCTTAATGCAAGCAAAAAATTGTATAAAATGCTGATCACAATGAAGAGTGTTTGCCTCATGGCAATGACCTCAGTACATCTTGTAACACATCCAAGTAGACACCGCACAGTTAGTTCACTGATGATAGGGTTTCCGCATGAGTAGCTGCGTAATTTGGGAACACTGACATCACACAAAGATTAAATGTCCACTGTTTCAAGAATCCACTTCCAGAATGGATGTAATTGGTGCACTTTAGTGTAAGATTGTCTACATTTAGGGCCACACTGCATTCTTTACACCCAAGATAACATAAGACTCTTCAAGCTACATAAGTGTACACTTTCCTGTAAAAAGAATAAGAATCATGTTATTACAGACCAAAGCCAGAGGACAAATTAAAGGCAAAATGACTAAAGCAAAGGAAGAAAGTCAATAATTGATTTAAATGACTAACCGGTCCTCAGGTGTTCTTGCAAGATATTCTCGTTCAATAAGGCCTTCTATTCTCTTCTTTATGATAACAGGAGATGGTAAAAACCGAATCTTGAGCTGTTCTGTGACTTCTGCCACTAACACATTGTGCTAGAGAGGGAAAGAAAGTTAAGATAAATAAAATGTTAGAAGGCCTGCTAACTATAAATGCAAAATTCAAGTTAGGACAAATATGAATACAGCTATGAAAACTTACAGCCATACGCTTTCTTGCTTTCATTATTCTTACTATAGCTGCTTCAATTTCATGTTTACGATCCTCATCAACCTTATTACGTGTTTCTTTCCTCTCTGGCTCTGATTCACCCTTGGCAGCCACTGTCTGGATTTTAACCCTACCCAGAAGAGAGTCAAAATTAATTTAATTGTCATTGATCGATGCTCTATGCAGGGTAAACCAATAAAAGCAGCATTAAATTACCTATGTAACTTTGAGGAAAATGAGTCATTGATTTGGAAAGCATGGTCAGATTCTATTTCCTTAGTTCTAGGAGTTTTGATAAGAATTCTTTGAGTTGCTTTTCCCATGGCCAGGGATTGAAGAGCTCTAATAAGATCCCTTTCAGGAATATCAGTTTCATTTTTAATTTCCTGTTAAAATTTAATGAAAAAATTATTTCAAGAGAGTCAACACAGATATGGCATATCAGACAAAATGGACAAATTGAAACTAGTATTCACCTCGTAACTAAGCCTTTCACGATTATTGAACAACATCAATACACACATCTGGTATGTGGACACCTGAATTATGTGCTTGCGCGGCCCAGAGGGCCCCGATCCAGATGACATAAGACTAGTGCTGGAACTGGCACCATCTCTACCTTCTCCTTCCTCTCTTCGGGGTCCAAAAAAGACAGCATTTAAGTCTGCTGAGCCCAGTTGTGGCTGAAGAGTTAATTGACGTCCACTATGCTTGCCAAGATAAAATCTAAAAAAAACGACAGAAATTGAGAAATAAAAATAAAGTTCAGAACCCTCAAGCACAATACAAAGATAATCCAAACTTACACTCTGAAAGTTTCAAAGGCATTCCGTGGCGCAGTGGGAATACTACACTTTGGCGTAGCACTTTGGGTTGGCCAAAAACCAGTGGTAAGAACACGAACACTGAGGTCTACTCCATGTAAAGTTGTCTGTAAACGATACAAAGTTAGTAAAAAGCTAAACATTTATAAGGTTTTTTTTTTTTTTTTCAAAGTTAGCAGCTTACTTTGACAGTTACAATATGTTCCTTGAATTCTTCCATGATAGTGTTAGAGACAGTCATATCCTTAAACATTCCCTCTAGCTTGGATGTGAATTGGCATCCACATTCAGTCTGAAAGGAAATCAAAATTAGTCGGCATGTCAAGCTTTCAAATGATCGAAATTAAAATAATGCAAATCACCTTAAGTTTTGAGATCATATTCTTCTCACTATCATCACTAACAGACTTGTTCAATAGAAGTCGTTTAGCTAGATGTTGCTTGTAATAACGTTCAAATACATCTTTCTCTTGGAGGAAGCGGAATAGAACCATAGTCTTGTCTAAAACTTGCTCAATTTCCTGCTCCGTCATCTGGTAAAGTAACAGATGTGATTAGGGTAAGTAATTTCCCCTGCAAGTTTACTTGACATTTGTTTTTACTTACGCCTTTCACACCCTTCTTCAGTTTGTCATCAATGAACAAAGATAGATACTCCGGAGATTTGGGATTAAGATTGAGGAAGTATTCAAAATCAGAGGCAATAACTTGTTTAAATGTTTTATCATTTCCAAAGGATTCATGAAGGAATTTATCAAACCGGTCTTTCAGGTCTAGCAGGTTCTGTAAAAGAAGACTCAGTTATCATTAAAGTTGTTTCCACATTTAAGTAGATACTAACACCCATTTAACACTGATCGGTACCTGAACAAATGTAATGGCATTTGTCCCTGCTTCTTCCTCCTGAACTAAAGCTTTGCCTTGTTCTCTTAAGTATGTGCTAACACACTGTGAGACTGTTTTTAAACCCTCACTAACTCGGCTAAGGAGCTTGTAAAGGCGAGCCAAATCCTCAGTCTTCTGATTCTTTAACATAAATACCACTCCAGAATTCTCCATCTGCAGAAAATCATCACAATGTTAATCATTTTGAGGAGTTTGTTAGAATCAACGTTTGGGTAAGAGGCTTAAACAGCAAGATTATGACAATTGGATGCTTACTTCTACAATGGTACGCATATGTTTGTTAATTAATTCTTCTTCAACAACGCCAACTATGTGAACTTCAGTGGATTCATCTAAATAGTGTTTTGCACGTTCAGCCTCTTCATTGATACGTGCCTCAACTTTTTTTATGTAAGCTGAAGCACAGTTTTCAGCAAGGAATTTCTGGCTTTCCATCTAAAAAAATAATCTATGTTAGAGAAAGAAACTGAGCAAATATTTTCTCACCAGACAGGCTGCAGATTAAATATACCTTGTAAAATTCAGCAGATTGCTGCAAGAACGGCCGTTCGAAATCTTCTTCATAGACAGAACGACTGTTGATTCCCAGGACCATAAGCATTTGACATCCATTTTTTATGGCAATTCGATCTACTACTTCACCTTTGCGTTCTCGCATGACCATATCCAGCAACGTATCTCTTAAGTGATCTCTTATGCAGCCATATCGTACAACCTGAAGATATTAACAATCAAGATTTTATAACGGTTAATAATGGTGGAATCTATTAAAGATTTACAATAATAAAAAATTAAACAGAAAACCATCAAATCAAACCTGATCTCTGAAGAAAATAAGCCCAAGGTTGTAAACGTTGTCTACTTCGTTCTGCTGTACATACACTCGGTCCATGTACATTAAAATATCCCGAATCATGACCATAGATGTCTGGTGGTCATTCCAGGCTTGGTTTAAGGTTTGAAGAAAATTATTGTGTAATGCACGCAGCACATCTTCACGAACCTAAAGAAGTTTTCCATCATAGTGTAACAAAATTACTTGTTTCAAATTTTCAAAATCATATTAAAAGAATCCTTAAGAAACTAATACATACTTTGGTCTCTAAGTGTTGTGTGACAACTTCTTTGAGTCCTGTGTATAGTCGCTCTCCATGTTTATGAAGAACCATAGTGTATGCATTTCTGTAAAGTTCTTCAAAACTAAGTCCTGAGTTATTTTTCTTTTGAATCTCTTGAATTGCGTTTTTGAGGAGGAGCCAGATGTTTTCCACATATTTTTCATCCATACTCATCTACAAAAACAGAAAAAAAAGATCAATTAAATGTCTGAATTAAGAACAACCCCCAGACAAGTGAACAAGTGAACACATGATGAGAACTGAACACATCAGGCTGACAGAAAGTTGTCACCTCCCAGGGGGTAAGTCACTGACACGTCAGTCCTAGAAAGCAAAGCTCCTTGCTGGGGCATACCAAGCATGAGGGCCGGATTCTGCCGCACCCTTCCGAGCCGGAGCTCCATTGGCTGAGGACGAAGTGGGGGCTGATATTCATTTAGAGTGGAGGGGAAGGGTCGGAGAGGCAGCGCCGGAAAGAGGATCGCACACAGACGCGGGGAAGAGGCGTCTGCTACCCAGCCGAGCTGTGGCTCGGGTAGGAAGGTGTGTCAGCAATACTGGAATTTAGAGCCGCGGCGCCCAAACAAAACATGCAGACGCCACGACACGCCGAGCGCGCCAAGCGGCCAAGCGCGAGGCAGCGCGAAGCCAGGAAAGCTGACAACAATACCCCTGGCTGTTGGCGTCCAAAGTAACCGCCCTCGGGCCGGGGACCTATGTATCTCTCTCTCCCACTTGACCAGTGAAATGAGGCGGCAGAATCCGAGCCGGCGCTACGAGCCAAGCGCAAGGCGGCGGCTTGGCGGCTAGGCTTCACGAAGCCATGCCCGCGACACAGGCAGACACAGGTAGGTACTTCCCCCGCAGGCCGAGTCCGGAAAGTGCAGTCGCTGTCTCCCTCGCACCCCTGCGCACACCCCGTGAGTGCGAGAGAGACACAACGACGAAAGCACCCAACGTGCTCCCACTCCTACCGAGAGCTAAATTTCCATAATTTATTTAGGAGGGCTAGTCATTCTTTGTAGCCCTCTACTACTGCTTTTAAGTAAAGGCACAGGACAGGTGGTACTGTTGTTACAGTGCTTTGTCAGTTTATAGAATATTTTGCCCCCTTGTTTGGTTTTTTGCATGTAGCCAACACCCACACTCCTTTAACTAGACTTCTGAGCTGAGAGGAGTGAGTTCCGAAACATCTTGACAATGACACTAGAGATAAGACAATGCTTCATCATCAGAAAAATCTAGTGGCTGTACAAGCAGATAAAGTACGGTACGGAGAATCATAACACCACTTTCACAGGGGAAGCAATAATAAGTGGGAAATAAACAAAGATTAATGCTGCACAAAAGGTAAATCTCAGCACCATACAGCCGATCATGAAAATTGCCCCCAGTGGTGAGTAATCAATAGAAAATCAGGATGATTAAGACCGTCTATGGACGGAAAATTGATCAAATTCAGTGTAAAAGTTAAAACTAGGCATTAAAAAAATTACTTAGCATAATAATGAGTCAGAAAAATGATAATTGGGTGGTGTGGCTTGCATCATTGTTTTAACCATAACAAGGAGCTTGTGTAGAATAAAGGTAAGAGCAAGTAAAGCTTTCTTTGTGGCCAGAGTACTGTCAAAAGAGAAAGTACTCTAGGTGACATAAAAGGGAGGTCACAGATGATGGTCATCCTAACCCTACATTTGTACACACAACAAAAGAAGTGTTTTGGATTGGTGACTGCCATAAAAATGAGAGATTGTCAACCTGACAAACAGCCAATTCTAACACGGAAGTTACAACAAAGATTTCCAGTCTTAATTGGACCATATCCAGTGGTCGAATTCAATTCTGTGATAATAACATTGTCATAAAGACTGCATCCTGGGAAGATGACAACTTAAATGGGGGTGTCCTAACCTTTAAATTCAGCCGTATCAATCATTAGTTCACACAAAATTTCAAAAAGGACTTACCGGAAATGCTCTAATACGCATTTTGGGTTCCTTCTTCATCCCACTTTTCATCATTTTGAATATTTTGTAAGACCCACAGGATGATTGAGGATGTTGGGCCTAGGCCTATCTGGAATGTATCATCAAAAGAAAAGTACGCTATCAGGCCAGAAAAGATCCACCATGCAGAGCGCCGCTGACGATGCTAATCCAAGAAGAATTCATTGGTTGTTTGCGGAAAGGGCGAAAGGCACAATCTTCAGTCAAAGCTTCTCTTTTCACCGAGAGAATGTTTCACACGACAGACGACGAGCGACAAGCATAACAAGTTGCCCTTGCTCTTGCTCGAAAAGTAGTCCAAGCTCAGCATAAACATTCACACATTTCTCTGGTGGCGATTTGGGGTCTCCGCCTTACTTAGATCATTTCTTCACAAGCTGAATATATTCTTCTGATATCAATGTTCCAATTCACTGTAAATGTCACACAACAAGCAGATGTGTACACCGTTGGCTAGACTTCTTCCTTCACTGATCACTGTGGGATTGATCTAATTTTTTTATTTGCAACGACATGGCGAGTTCTGCCACAGACAAATACTCGGATCATCGTTTCATACGCACACCCCGCGGTCACGTATTCTGTGCGAAACCCATTTAATTGTGCGTCATCGCTTTTGCCCTTCCAACTCAGCTGATCCAGTGCGCTGTAGGTTGGTACTTCGTACTGGCCGAAGTTTTGCCAACATACAGTCCCCTATCCGAGTTGAAACTTACCATCCAAGACGTTCCTATGCGAGTGAACGTCACATATTGACGACCTGTCTTCAGCTTGCGTGCACTGTGGGTGTGGCTGTGGACGCACCGTGGCCAGCGCTGGCTTCTGCAGGCGTGCTGAGTTGTCTCCGTCGGGTTGGCTATGAAGCCGCCGTCGCACTGCCGCAGAGTTTGAAGCGACCCGCGAAGAGGACCGAGCCACCTAAAGACACAATCCTTCAGGGGTAAATGCTTTGCCGCTCTGGCGACGGGGCTTACAAGGCGTCTTCGTGCCATGTGGGCTGCTTTGTGGATCGGATAGGCCGCCCCGCCAAGCGCGCCAAGGCCTTCCCGCCGTCTTCCCTCTCCCGCGCCGCGAAGTAGAGGGAAGTCAAGTCGGGGGAAGACAAGACAAGCCAGCACCTCGGCGACCACTGCTCGGTGTCGTTGCCTCTCGGACCTTGCCTTTGGTGGACTCACGGCCCTGGGCTTCCCGTCTCCCCGTCCACACTGCTGCTGCAAAAGGCTTATCAGTGTCCTGAGTCCCTTGTGTCCCAATTCAAACAACTGCGCCACTTTCCGACGGTTCGCGAGCTCTCCGTCCGAGGGCGCCACCGCCCGGCATTCTTCAAGGCGGGCCGGCCGGACTCGGTTCGGGCTCGGTTCGGTTCGGGCTTCGGGTCTCCTCGGCGGATCGGGCTCGTGGTCGCCAAGTACCCGCGCCTGCTTCGCCTGCTCTTCCCTCCCTGCCCTCCCTCCGCCTCGATCCTGGCTGAGCGCTCGCTGTCTTTCTGGCTTAGTGCGGAGAGAAGTGGGAGAGTGGGAGGGGAGAGCCAAGCAAGCCAAGCCAGCCAGTGGCTCAGCTCGAAGCCAGTCCCGGTCACCAGTCAGTCCAGTGGGCTACAGTGGGCCGCAAAGCCCGGCAAAGCCCCAGCCAGGCCCCAGCCCCCCGAGTGCCCTGCCCTGCCCGGCGCGGCACGCCGCGCAGCGCGCAGCTCCGTGGCGGCTGGTTGGTTACCTTGGAAGCGAAGCAGTCTGCCTCCGCGCCGCGCCGCGTCCGAACGTCCGCCCGGGTGGCTGGAGGAGCACTGTGTAAGCACAGAGTCGCACTGCGCTCACTGCGCGCTCCCATGCCAGGCGCGACCTGAGTGTGTCCGGTCGCCTTGATCGCCCAGCCGGTGAAGATGGGATGCCGAATGCACGGATTTTCCCTGAGTAACGGTGAGTGGAGCGACCGCGTCTCCGCGCTGCTGGGTGTGCGCGTGCCGCGTGCCTGGGCTGGGACTCGAAACCCCAGACTCCGGCCCCTGCGTGCTGCTGCGTGCTGCTGCAGTGTGCGAGTCGAAGTAAAGTCCGCGAGTTCGCACCGCGTTTCCGCCCTTGTCCCGGCCAGAGGCCTTCGTCCCGATCCTGCATTTCTCCACTCCGCCTCGGACTGGAGGCCCCCGCCTTGGCTCGGCCCGCGCCAAACTCGTTCCTGGGCGAAATCGCCAAGTGTGGCGCGAGACACCTTAGGGGAATGGATGGAAATGCAGCAGCCCGCCGCGCGCGCGTCGCTTCAAACGTCTCTACTTAGCGTTGGTTCCAGTGGCTTCTCTGCCCGGATGAAAGCAAAAGTGGGCAAGTCTGGAGCGGGGCGCCTCAGGTGGGCGTGCTGGGTGGCTGGGTGGTCGCCGACGGGCTGGACGAGGGCGCTGGGGGCCTCCTGGCCCTCCTGGCCCGGCCGGCCGGCCCACCCACAACGCCCCGACGATTATCAGGAAACATTGACATTCATTTGGGAGCACTCGGTGCTGTGGGTTATTGACTTCCCCCCGCGGTGTCGTGGACGAGGGGAGTGGGGGAATCCGCGAGGGGTAGCCCAGCCCCGGGCCGCCCCCTAAACCAGGTAAGCCCCAAGGCGTCGTGCCCGTCGTGCCCGTCAGCGCTGACAGCCCCCTCCCCTTCGCGCCAAGCCCTGCGGACTGATTCCGAGAGTCGTTTTCGTCGCTCTGTCTCTCTCGCACTCATGGGGCGTCCCGTACGGGTGTGAGAGAGACAGAGCGACGAAAACGACTCTCGGAATCAGTGTGCTGCTCAGCGCTCCGAGATTCGAGCGAAGTGGGAAGTGCCTAGCAGTGCCGCGGCCAGCGCGCCGAACGGCCGAACGCGAACGGCCATGGCCATCGTTTGTTTACCATCACCGAGTAAACAAGTAGTAACTGAGGAGTCTGCGTGGTACGTATCCTAGTCGGCGGACTTCGCCTGTTTTCACTCTGTCAAAAAAGCGAGTGTGTGAGTGTGGACGGAGCGGCCCGGGCAAAAAGTACGGGGGTAACGTCTGAACGAAATCACTCGTGGGTTTTATTGCGCCCGGCCAGGAAGAGCCTCTCCCTGGACACCTGATGGACGCGCCAGTTTCGCACCGGGACGTTCAAGGAAGGCGTGGAGGGCGTGCCGGTGGTGAGAAGGAGCAGAGCTTCCACGCCTTGCCCCACCGCGTACGCCGCGCTAGACGGCATCTGCAAAGCCTCTTCTTGTGCCGCTGGGGCGTGAGACTGTCGTGACTGACAGGTATCTCCATCTCTCTCGCACTCGTTGGGCTACCCGTAAGGGTGCGAGAGAGACAGAGCGACAGACACCGCGCCGCAGAAGGGTGGCATGGTCGCGGCCCGTCTCCGGGTGAGGGGCGGGGAGGGGAGGGGGTCGTCTGTCGTCGAGTCGATGGAGAGCTAAATGCACTGCGAAGGGCTGCCGAAGCCTTCCTCTTGACTAACGTGGCTTGCTTGCAGGGGCGTGGTGCGTGCTGCTGCTGGCGGCGCTGCAGGCCGGCAGGGCGGCGTGCTCGCTGTCGGGGCTGTACATCGACAACGGCGTGGACCAGACGCTGATGCAGCGCTCCCTCACCAAGCACGAGCGCCAGGAGGTGGAGCACGAGATCCTGTCGCTGCTCGGGCTGCCCGACCGGCCGCGGCCGCCGCAGCCGTCGCGAGCCAGGTGAGGTTCGCTGGGAGGAGTCCGACGGCGGAGAGGTTGGACTGGACCTACGCCGCGGCCAACGCATTTGACGGCTTGTCTTCGCAGGGCGCCTCGGGCCAGACGCACAGCCCCGAACGCGGCGGCGCGCTCGCCTGCACCACCACCTGGCCGCGTCCGCGCCGCAGTTCCTGCTGGACGTGTACCAGTCCCTGGAGGAGACCAGCAGCCTGTTGCACCGCCGGGACATGGCGCACCTGCAGGGCGACTTCAACCTGACGGGCAACGACCAGACCGCCATCGACGAGAGTGACGTCATCATGACCTTCACCAGTCACAGTGAGTTACCAGTGCGGTGTTCGGCTGGCAAAGGTTTGCAGACTCCAGTTAGTGGCTGCACCGTCTTGATGGCTTCCAAATAAGCACGTGAGCGGGCTGCGCCACGAGCGCGGCAAGCGGCTGTGTCGACCTGTCCGAGGTCCGGCCGGCGAGGGCATCATGGGCGCCGAGCTGCGCTGTACCAGCGACCCGCGCCGCCGGACGCCCCGTGGTGGCGACGGCACCTACACCATCTCGGCGTACATCGTCGTCAGCGTGGAGCACGGGTAGGGACTGAGGCGACGGCCCGGGTTCGAGCCCGGCCAAGGCCGGCGTTTTGCTGTTTTGCTCTGAGAATGCAGAGCGGCTGCCGTCCCGCCGTCCCGCCTCGGGCAGGTACGCCTACCTCAACCTCCACCGAGGCGGCCGCCGCCGCACCCCCCTGGCCGCGTCCGCAGCGCTATTTCACTGTGGCGTGCCGTCCCTGCCGCGGTGCCGCGCCTGCTGCACCATGCGGGCTGTCCCGCACCGCAGGGGACCAACTGACGGGCAACGACCAGACCGCCATCGACGAGAGTGACGTCATCATGACCTTCACCAGTCACAGTGAGTTACCAGTGCGGTGGTTCGGCGGGCAAAGGTTTGCAGTACTCCAGTTCAGTGGCTGCACCGTCTTGATGGCTTCCAGATAAGCACGTGAGCGGGCTGCGCCACGAGCGCGGCAAGCGGCTGTGGTTCGACCTGTCCGAGGTGCCGGCCGGCGAGGGCATCATGGGCGCCGAGCTGCGCCTGTACCAGCGACCCGCGCCGCCGGACGCCCCCGTGGTGGGCGACGGCACCTACACCATCTCGGCGTACCTCGTCGTCAGCGTGGAGCACGGGTAAGGGACTGAGGCGACGGCCCCGGGTTCGAGCCCCGGCCAAGGCCGCGCGTTTTGCTGTTTTGCTCTGAGGAATGCAGAGCGGCTGCCGTCCCCGCCGTCCCGCCATCGGGCAGGTAGCCTACCTCAACCTCCACCGAGGCGGCCCCGCCCCCCGCCCCGCCCCCCCCGCCCGTCCGGCCCCCCAGGGGCGCCTTATTTTCCGACTGGGTGGCGCCTGCCCGCCTGCCGCCGGTGTCGTCGCCGTCTCTCTCGCACTCATGGGGTGTCCCGCCCGCAGGGGTGCGAGAGAGAGACAGAGCGACGTAACGCTGTTCGGAGGCCGCCCCGCCCGCTGTGGTGGCTCGTCCGGTGCTTGCCCCTGCCGCTGCTGTCGGCTGATGGAGTCATCGACGGGCATCAGGCTCGAGATAAAAGAGGAAGGACCCGGCTGGAATATATTCCTGGGTTCTGGGTTCGAATACCGACCCCGTGGTTTTTCTTTTCCTTCCCAGTGCAGTGGCTCGTGTGCCGGCGCGGCGTGGCGCAGTGGCGGCCCTCGGCCACCCGCATCGCGTCGAATTACACCGCGGCCGAGGGGCCGAGGGAAGCGGCAGGCCAGCTGGCCGGCCGGCCGGGCGGATGGCCGGGGCGGAGCGGCGGAGCGGGGCGGCTTCTCGCTATAAAACTGAGTCACTCACTCACGTCGTCTCGTCGCTCATGACCACGTTGTCGCCGCCGCCGGCTTTACCGCCAGACGGCCGGGCCAACGAGCCTGGCGAGCGCAACGAGGTGCCCGAGCAGTGGCTGGGCCAGGCAAGGGCTTGAACCGGGGACGCCGCACGCCGCACGGCGCTCGGCCCGAAAGACACAGACACAACGACGGGGCGGGGCGGGGACGGCGGGTACGGCGGGGACAACCTCGCTCCGGAGCTACAAAAGCAGCCCCACCTGCGAGGCGGGGAAGGACGCCCGAGGGGGCGGGAGAGGGGGAGGGGGGTACCACTTATGTGCGGACGAACAAAGGGAAGGGAAAACAAGAGGGGGGGGGGAAGCGCCGGGTCAGCGTGGTGAAGCACGTATGACTCAACGCAGTCCATGTCGACGGTGGGGACCAGGGCGACAACTGGACTGGGAGGAAAATGCGTTTTCAGGCGCCGCGAACTGTTTTGACATTTTCGAAACTTTATCGGTGCCTGAACGTGCAGGCACTCGCCCTCACTAGTGGCCACAGCTGCTGCGAGCGATAAGCGAGAAGTTGTACTCACTCATCAGCCACGAGTCGCAGCGGCAGCGACGCCCTGCAGGCTGTTTTCGTCGCCGTCTCTCTCGCACGCTTAGGGGAAGTCCCATGAGTGCGAGAGAGACAGCGAGGAAAGCAGTGCCTGGAATCAGGCAGCTGCGTCGCAATCTGAGCGTGCTGACGGCGTGCTGACGGCGTGCTCGGCCTCCAGGATCACGCGTTCTGTTTGCCTGCGCAGGGAGAAGGAGCTCGAGTTCGTGGACGCCGTCAACACGACGCACTCCAACCAGGGCTGGCACGTCTTCAACATGACGGGGCCCTTCACCAACTGGGTGGCCTTCCCCAACTCCAACCTGGGCCTGTACCTCTCCGTGAGGTCCTCCGAGCGGCCGGGTAAGCCTCGCGTGCTAAGAGCGTCAAGTTGTTCGAGGAAGGGGTTGTTAATTTAATTTCCCCGCCCGTGCAGGACATGACCTTCGGCCGGAGGACATCGGGCTGGTGAGCGCGGCCGGCGAGGAGGAGAAGCAGCCCTTCATGGCGGCCTTCCTGAAGGCGAGCCCCGCCAACGCCAAGGTGCGCGCCACCAGGGACACGGGGCGCCGCCGCCTCAAGAAAGCGGACGTCACTGCGTCCGAGCCGAATCTCCCCAGGAACCCTTTCGGTTCGTAGCTACCCTAAAAGCCTGGAGTTCCTGATTTGTTGTTTTGCAGTTAAACCGAATTTTCCTCTTCCCCCAGCTGATAGATCATTGTGGTCTGCAAGAACGTGCCAGATCAAAAACTTGTATGTCAGCTTCAAGGATTTGGATTGGCAGGTAAGATTAATAATTTTAAGTGTCGTGTTAGAAACTCTACAGTTTTGATTGATTGTTTTCATGTATTATTTACACAGGACTGGATCATAGCACCAGATGGATACGCAGCATTTTACTGCAGTGGCGAGTGCAATTTCCCCTTAAATGCACACATGAATGCCACCAACCATGCCATTGTGCAAACTTTAGTTCACCTAATCAACCCAACGGCTGTGCCTAAGCCATGCTGTGTGCCAACCAAGCTCACACCAATCAGTGTGCTATATTTCCTTGACGACTCAAATGTTGTTTTAAAAAAGTACAAGAACATGGTAGTGAAGAGTTGTGGGTGCCATTAAAATGCAGCAGTTCCTCAAAGCTGTGTTACCAATCCGTCCATATGTCTTAAAAAAATAAAAAAATTGTGATCTTAATTTAAGTAGAAAACAAAATGTTGACTGATATCACTCTGACTGCTAAGTTCATTTTTTAAAATATATATTTGTTTTAACTTGAAGTGCTGTAGGTTAAGATCGTACTACTTTTAAATGTGTAGGTACTTTATTTTGAATTGACTTGAGACGAGTGACTTTGTTCTGCATAAACAAAGAACCCTTGTTTTATGCATGTTTGCATTTCATTTTGAGATTCTATTCTCAGACTTTCTGTGCCTTCTTGTCTGGTCAGATGAAGGAGAACTTAAGTAAAGTAACCTTTAATATTGAAGTACCTGTTTAAACTATGTTTTTCAATTGATCTGAGTAACAACTCTTATTTGTGTCCTTTCACCAGTCACATATTTAAACCAATTTATGCTGTGTTTGTAAATAGTGCATCAATTGAATCTTTCACCCCTTTGTATATTAAAGTTCTTTCAAAACTGCTCATTGTTTTCATTCCTGCCTATAAGGGAGATGCAAGGAGATAAGTAAAACACGTGGATAAAAATTATTAACAGCCTGAAATTTATTAGGTATTTCCATAGAAAATAAGTACAGTACTTCAGCAGCTGAAAAGGGTTATGGTAGTTCTTTCTTCATTGTAAAAGGACACTAGTAGTATTGACCCAGTTCGTAAGAATGATCAATAAATATTTGCATATATAAAAAACAAAAACATATTTACATATACAAATTAGTAGGTCTTGAACAGAAAGTTTGAAAGCATACATTTTAAGCATTAACAATGATAGCTATCATTTACATCAGTCAGACAAAATCTCCCATTTACATAACCATTCTGCACATAGTCTCTTGTAATAAGGATAATAATAAAATAATTGAGTATAAGTTCTGTTAATACAACTTCATCCACACAATGTTTCACACCAGCTGCTCTCATTCAGTTTGATTTCCTTAAATGTGTAAGTTACTTGACACTATTAAAATAGCGGAAGTGGATTTTAATTTCTATGCATCTATGGTTACAACTATTTTTTTTATTTTTTTGACTCAAAAGTAAATTTTGACAGGGTTGGTGAAGCACAATTAACGTTTAGTAACTTAACATAACACAAACTGCTCCACATGACTGAGATTAGATGGCAAGAGTAAATATTAATTGGATCCTAACTATGGGGATGTGCAGTAAACTCAATACATTAGATACTACAATACAATGTGTAAAAATAATCAATGACATTTAATTAACCAACATCTTACTGCTCCAAAGGCCATTAAAAGTCACCGAAATTTTAACTTCCTGCAAAAAAACCCAGAGCCAACAATTCAAGGGCAGAAAATGGTTTTTTTCTCATGACTGACTACAGCCACACAGATGTGCAAACATAAGATTGGCACAGAATATGGTAAAAGAAGAGAGAAAGTGTGAACGAATCTTGATGCAATGTAGTTATCAAAGTTACAGAATTTGTAGTCAGCACAAGTAAGAGCATTAACTAAACACACTAAACAAACCTTTACAGGGTTACTTCCAATAATATGACTACATTATTGACTCGTTTGTGTAACATTGGAGCTATTGCATTGTATGGACAAGTTTGTTTCCATAAAACCCAGGGACACATTTTTTTCACATAATTGTAAAAGACCTTTACAGCAAAAGCGGTAAAATTTGTTAAAAATACATGCTTTGTTCAATCAATGCAAAAATTCAATACTACAATAGTTAAAAATCAAATCAAAATCACGTGGTACAAATTGTTGCAGCTATGACGAAGAACTGAATTCGATTGGTACAGACTGTCTGGATAGGAATGCCTTCAGTAAAAGAAGACCATCTTCAAAAAGTAGACTATCCTAGGATATACATTCTGGAATTAACTACCAAAACCAAATGATCACAGTTATTACCAAACAAGGTATGGAGACTCTTCACTGTAAACTTGAGTCTTCCACAAATTGAGACGCACATTTTTAGCAAAGTACATTGCTTATGGAACTGATCAATAAAGGAACTGCTTACATTTATAAGAGGATATACTTGCAAATGACTGCACAGCTGCTCAAATACATTGGAAGCGATTAGTTAACAATTTAAAAGCACCAGATCAGTTTGAGTGGCAGCTGCATTTGGCTCAAGAGGTATACAAAAGACGCATGTAAAAAGAAAGGCAGTAAAAAAAAAAAAAAAAAAGAAGAGAGTATCAACAAACAAACATAGCAGCCCAAAATGTATACTCCACATCTTTCAGTCCATGTTTAATAGGAATGTTTACAGCCACATCATTTGTGGGATGGTGGTTCAGAAACCCCAATATTATGCTTCCAATTCTTTCTTTAAAATAATTTAAGTTACAGGTAGTTTGATTAAGGCCTTTAAGCGCTAGTCGACAACTGTTTGCTTATGTTTATGGCATCTCAATACAGCCCTTAATTTGTGCACAGCAGGCAGCATGGCTAGCTGGCACGGCGGAGAGCGGCCTTGCCAGCAGAGCGCTCACAACCGTGTCAGACGGTTTTAATCCTAAATTACGAGGGCCATATCCTTTTTGCTAGGCAAGTTCACTTTCTTGCCTTGCCAAAGGCTGTTGTGGATTGTGAAAGCATCTATTGTCACAGTTAGGTGCTTGGTGTGCACTTGAGAGAAACACTTGCCTCCGGAATTATACCTGCAAGAGGATTAGCTCCCATTAACATAGGGCCATACTGTAAGATGAAACAGCATGACAACAAAATTAATACTTACTTGAAAAATCGGTCGAACATGCGATCGGTTACTTGCTTAGGACCAGTGCCATACAATTTCAGCACTTCTTCTACTTCAGGGCAGTATGAATAGAGGGCTCTAAACTGACAACCAGCGTCTCTGAAGAGAATAAGGAAATGTTTTGCTTCTGATCGGCCAATTTCCTCAAGAACCCTACGTTTGGCTTCTTTATTCACTGCTCCTGGGAATACACAATACTCCACAGCATTCAGCATAATGCCACGATTTGACTTGGTTGCTGGCTGCTTGTATAAACGAGGACCTGTGAATGAGGAATAAGTAAATAAAGGATGCTGGAATCAAGTACACAGTATAGGTTAACGCTTGATAAGATAATAATTACCATTGTAATCCAGCATTGAGCTCGTGGCTGAGCTGATGTCACTTGAACCGTCATCAAACATTCTTCGTTTTGATGTAAGGCCCGGGGGAAGTGATCCAGGTCCTGTAAAGTCACAAACCTTATAAAAAGCTGTTCAAAATTATTATTTTTTGCAGGTACTTGCATAATACAGTAGTAGGTAAGAGAGGCATTTAATATAACAGTATGATAAGAGATTTAACTGAAATTGGTGGATTAATTCACCAAACAAAAGAGAAAATTATTTCCACACTTCACTCAAAGCTGTTGTTTGTAAGCAGCTATAAACTACTGATTTCTTGCACACATTACTACGTTTTCCACCACACACTACCTGAAGGTGAAGTGAGGTGTCGGCCCGAGCTCATGCCAGGCGAAGGAGCTCGACGAGGTGGTGTGGCCCGGCCCAGGCCTGAGTCTGTATCTGTGTAACGATACACCATGCTGTCCTGGTCTGTGCTCGAACCTGCACACAAACCACCAAGCGTGCTACAAACCACCTCATGTGCATTACTTCAACACACTTCGACTACAGTTGCACATCTACGAGCTCGGGAACTCCCAGTTTTGGGTTACTCTCAAAGACCATCTCATCAAATCATTAATTTTTAATTTTCTTACAGCGGTCAAGAAACAATGAGTAGGAACATCAGGTCATCTTGCATTTAAGTTCAGAAAAGATTGAGGGACCGAACAACTTTAAAAAAACTTCAAGGTAACATCTTTGAAAGGTAAAAATGTGTGAGTAGAACAATACTTTCCATAGGAATAATTAAAAAGATAAATGAGAGAATTTGATTTGGGATTATACAAAATAACAATACAGAGCAGAACACACATTCACTATTGCAGACAATTTCAGAACAATAAAATTAAGATCATACCACCACCAGAATCACTTTACCAATAATACCAACCAGTTAAGCGCTGAAGGGGAAATAGAAGTCTAAGTGAAATCTGTAATTACTGTGTCCTATTACACAATACTACCTTCATAGAATGCATACATGATGATTTAGCCTAACATTCACAACTATGAAGTTTTCTGTCCTAAACTAAATGAAATCCAAGTTAGGCTATGTCTGGCACTAATTCATCCTGCAGTATGAAACCCACAAGTAAAAATAGAGTTCAAAAATTAACATTAAAAAAATTTGGGACTCCCAAGAAAATAATGACTGAGCATAAAAGAGAAGATGTCACCAGGACAATTTAGGTAAAAACGAAAACCTAATGAACTAGAGGATGAACCGGTAACAAAATGAGGATTTTAGATGTCTAATGACCTAGAGGGGAATGAACTTTCTCAAAAGAAGCAATAAAAGAAAACAACACCGAAAAGAATCAGATTACAAGAGCAGAAATACCAGCCACCATGAGATTTAGATTCCCACACCATAAAAGCCTAAATTTTAGGCCCATCAATAGCAGCCCAAATAGAAGCATGGCAGCATGCCAGTCAAGACACTGAATGGCTGGAATGCCCTTACCGCTCAAATTCATGAGGGAGTTTGACTTGCGTGCACGCATGTTGGACTGATAGGTTGAATATTTGGGTCTTCCACGTGGTTGTGGTTCTGGCACATCTGAAATCATGTGGTGGACACTTCACGCTGTGTTTGACATACAGATGTGTACCTAATTTGGAGACTCATGAGCTCATGATTTTAAGCAACTTCTTAACCTGTTCATCACCTCATTGATTATATAGATAATGTTCAATGAGTTTAATTGTAACAATTGAAGTAATTTTGGAAAAATATAGTGGTATACCATTTCATTTCTTTTTAAAAATCGCTTAGGGACAGAACATACCCACAATACAAGAAGAATCTTTGAGTATGCATTAATAAATTGCAGGGTTGATAACAAAATATAGTAAGGCTCACCTCTGGAAGTCTTATAAGATCCTCGGCGACCTAATGCATTAGTTCTGTTCGGGGATGTTCCTCTTCCATCATCAGGAGAATCTGCACAAAACATTAATAAAAATCAGCTCTTTACAATTCAAGCAAATTCTGTAATCGAAACAAAACTGGAAGAAATGCTGAGCTGGATACAAAACACAAAGTCAAGGGTATGAAACAAGCAATAGTGTCTGCACAAACAGATATAAATCAAATCACAACCATGCCTCACCTCTAACAAGGGAGTAGCTACGGCCTGGCCTCATGCGACTTTGCCTTTCCTCAGAGCGTTGACGTTCAGCCAAACTATCAGTGGAACCTCGATAATAATCTCGTCTCATGCTAGGTGTTAAGCTGGAATCTGAGTGCAGGCACACAGCAAAAAATAATTGAAAAGAAGCGTACGCAAAGGCACATGCAAAAATAAAACAGGGATGAAAACACAAAAGAATAAGTTGAAAAGGTAACAAGCTGATCAAAACACATTGATTTAAACTATAGCACAGCCTCTAGTTGCCAACAAAAAAAATAAAAATGCACCGGGAATACTAAGCTGATTGATGAATAAAAATATTAAAAATGTCTATCTCCTCAAGAGAAAAAAAAGCACAAAAGACCTAAATCAATTCTGCAAGGCCGAATAAAAATTGAAGGCACGCCTAAATAGCATTTTAAAAAGTAACTAATAATCTATAACTAGGATAGTACAAAAGGTCTATGAGTCTACATCAGGCTTGTGACGAGGCAAAAATCAGCACAACTCACCTGCAAGATTGGAAGTGGATCCTTTCTTCCCCCGACTGGGTGAAAGTAAGCCCTCAGCAAGATTAACATTACCACTGTCTACGTGAATAGTCTTTGGCCTGGGCCGGGTGACAGTTTTGTTCCTCATCTTCGGTATTGTTTTGACAGAATTCAACAAATCCTTGTCAATAGTTTTACCCTGAGGGGAAAAAAAATAAAAAAATAAATGCACAAGATGCTTGACAGAGAGTACATCCACAAGAACATAGAAAGGATAAACACCTCTCTCTCAGCTTCTTCAAGTGCTTTCTTTAACTTGTGCTGTTCAAGAATGGCCTGCCGTCTGATCCGTTCTTCTTCCTTCTTCCGTGCTTTCTCTTCCTCTTTGAATTTCTCTGCCTCTCTTTTTTGTTGAGATTCCATTTCCTTCCTAGCTTTCATTTCCTCCTGTTGTTGTCGCCTCTGAAGAGACAAGAGCATGATGCGCTCTTTTCTCCGTTCCATTTCATCCAACGCATTCTGCAGGGAAATAAAAAATAAAGAGTAAAAATTTGATTGATTCCTGACCCATACACTAAAAACGCCTACTTCTTTACAATTTAGAATGCTTACAGGATCAGGGTTCGCCAACTCGTTGCCTATAACGAGGCCAACGCCCGCGCTGGCTCCCTCACTGTCTTCACTACCTGACCGTCTCTCATTGCGATCTCGGTGAGGCGCAGAATTAGCTTCATTGGATAGCCGACTAGCAACCTGGGGGTGAGGCACTACTTCATCGGCAGGATACCTTGAGGGTGCTTCATTATAATAATCAGCTCTGTCCACTCTGTTCACATTCCTAGCAGGTGAGGCATTTTCTCTTTGATCTTGCAAACGAGAATGGAAATCGTTTTGTTCCCTATCCACTCGTTCTCCAAACAATGAACTGCTATCCAGCACTTGGGTGACAGCTCTCTCCTGATAAGGGCAGAAAATCACACTTAGAAAAGCAAAAACTCTGAAAACAAGGACAAAATGTCAGTTCAAGATACATACCTTTTTGGGAGAAGCCTTTTTCACACGAAGAGGTGGCTTTGGTCTTTTAGGAGTGGTGTCTTCATCAAATGATATATAAAATCCTTTTTCTGGTACTGCTTGCTCTTCGGGTTCATTATGAACCTCAGGGACATTCTCATCAACACCCGCATCACCCTTCTACAAGATGGATAAAAAGATAATGTAAAATAACACAAAATTGGGTCAGCAAGTGGGGTCTTCTTGTGACAATGATTACCTGGTTGCCAAACATGTAAAAGCCTTTTTTGTTGTTGTCATTGTGTTGAGGTAGGGGATGCCTTGCACTGTTTGGTCTAGTAGGAGAAGGAATGCGGTATGTTCTGCTCCCTGATGTTATCTGGAGCTTACTGATGCCAGATGTGAGGTCATCACCGCTAGGCATATCTGATACAACAGAATACACAAGTGAAACACAAGTGACAGTAAAACATGATTGTTAAGAATTATTAATGACATTATAAACAGTGCAACATCTTTCCACTTGCTTATTGCTCTTGTGTACATTTATTGCAGTGTTAAATATTTGTTTTATTATGGAAGCAACCAAACCAAGACCAAATTTTCAATTTCAAATAAAACTGTTGCTGTATTCAATATCAGAGCAAGTAGCAATAAGCAATGAGAAATAAGTAATGGAAGATGATTAAAATGTAAATTGATTTTAGTAATTTTCAATGAAGCCTAGTAGAGAGTAAGTAAAGCGATATGAACCTTGAGGATGTGGCTCACCAATGAAGGATATGCTTTGGGGCTCCATATCATCTACAGGAGGTGTAGGCAACGCTGTATGAACAGTTGATGAATTCCTTTGCATGTTCCTATCATCTGATGTAGCTGTATGTTGCCGTGGTTTCACCTCAGGAGTTCTGGCAGAGGGAAAACATCAATAAGTCATTAAAACTAAACTGACACGTAACAAACACACAGCTGAATTGCATATCAATGAAAACCAATGGAACATGGCAAAACAAGATGTAATGCAAACATATGTTTTTTAAAAAAGCTAGAAATTAAAATGCATGTCAGGGGTTTGAAGCAAAAGCACCTGTGAACGGTTGGAGTAGTTCGATGTTGAGGTGAAGCATTGACTGAACTGGGTGCACGTCTCGGTGGTGGGGTGGGGGCAACATCTCCATGCAGATCAAAGCCTGAGGCTGAGGCTGAGGTGTGAGTTATGGTCTGAGGCTGCTGATTATGGTGGGTTCCGTACGCATTCAGGCTGCTCAGTCCGACTGAGGGATTGGGGTGATGGGATGGGTGGTCACCATTATGGTATCTCACATCACTGCTAATGGGTTGGTGAAGAGAAAAACCAGAATGGGGTTTTCCGCTCCTACAAAAGAAAAAAGCGTGCTTTATGTGCCTGGGTTTTGACTCGGACTCTCTTATCAAGACATGCGACGGGTGTGGGCATGAATTCACATCTGCAAATCTTTACAAAGAAAGCCAGTCCTTGACAAAAGCAACAAACAAAAGCCACAATCCTCGCGCTAGGATGTCATCAGTCACTACTCACATGTCACCCCAAGTGCGCAAGTCCTGAGGATGAGGCTGAGCAGTTGTTTGGCCCCAAGTTCGCCGTTGCCCTTGCTGAGACTGAGGGGCAATCTGCATCTGCTGCTGTGGCTGCGTCTGATGTTGCTGTTGTGGAATATGGTGTTGTGGTGGTTGATTTTGTTGATACTGTTGTTGAGAAAACTGCGGTTGCTGGTGAGGATCATGAAGATAAAATTGATTGCCTCCTTGCTGAACAAGGCTTTGCAACTGTTGGTGCTGCTGCTGGTGAAGAGGGGACCCATACCCACTTTGCATATTAGATGCATTCACCTGGGATAAATTGAACAATTCAAGGTTAAAAGATAGCTTCAAACAGGATAAAAACAAAGTCATAGATGGACAACCCTTACCATACTATGCATTTGGTTTTGGGGTGCTTGGTTCATTTGGTGCTGAGAGAATGCGTTCTGCTGTAGGGGTGGTGAGTTGGAGTAACCATGTACCATCTGGTGTTGGTTGATCAAAGAGTGCATGGGCTGAGACTGTTGCATGTGCTGTTGCATGGGCTGGGACTGCATATGCTGCTGCATGGGTGGCTGTTGATATGTTGGATGAGTTCTTAGCTGAATTGGAGGAAGATTCTGATATGGCGATTGCTCCTGATGGTACTGAGAATGGGGCTGTTGAGACTGTGAATGTCCATATGGCTGCCCATGCTGGCTCATATTTCCTGTTTGAGAACCCTGCTGCTGAATTTGATTTTGTTGAGTGGCAAGGCGCTGCAGATCCGCTTGAATTTCATGAAGGCTTGTGTTCATTCTGAAAGTTAGAGAAATAAGACGAATGTTATAATCTACTTAATGGTCATGAGCTAACTCCAAAGCATGATAGGACACTCGCGTTACTTACTGTGCAATAGACTCTTGGTAATGCTCAACATCCATGTTGTCCATGTCTGCACCTTGACTAAGAACATCATCTCCATCCTGTAAGATTAATTTTATTAGAATCACAGTTTGTTCAACCATTTTCAGAAAGTGACAGCATATAAAGAAAAGGAACATTAAAACATTTTTGCATTTTTTTTAAAAAGTTTCAAAGATTTGTGTTTCTTAAATACTATTGTGCATTTATAGAGTGGTGGAAGAACCAATAATTATCTACAGAACTGAAAGCAGACAGGCAACCTGAAACCATACCTGTTTGGAAGCTTTGCTTGAGCTATCTGAGCTGTCCTTACTGGAATCTGATCCGGGACTCTTTGCAAGTTGCTTTTTGTCCTGAAAATGTTATATACCACATGCACCCAATGTTAGAAGGTCACACCACATTCCTCAAATAAAACTGAAAACACACGCTTGACTACTTTTAAAAAAATGGAAAAACAAGACCGCAACCTGAGAAGTGAGAGCACAATGGAAAAAGTAAAAAAAAGTCACCACAACCACAAGAAAAAAGGGACACTTTAATGATTCTTATAACATTATTCTAAACTGGAAACCATTTGACAGGTTAAGTTAGATTGAAAACTCATTTAACAGAAGTACTGACATGCAAATTGATTTATTAGGTGCATACTTTCTTAAGGGAACAGGAATAGAACTATAGGAAATGTGAAAAGACGTGTTAATGATCTAAGACAAATGAAACCCAACTACCCCTGCTCAGTGAATTTTTCAGTGAATTTTGGATAAAACCTTAACCGTAACCAAAAATATTGTGTGGGTTGCAAACCTTAGTAACAGCTTGAAGGAAGGCAGCTTTGCCCACTCGTTGTCTTTGCTTGTTCAACATGAGTTCCATCTTTCTCTTTTCACTTTCGATATGGCGTCTTTTTTCTTCTAATTTTAAACGGACATTCAATAGTTGAGATGCCATAGCTGGACTGCCACCACTCCCACCGGTATTGGCACCAGCATCCTCCACCATGTGTTCTAAATAAGAACAATCAGATTAGATTCAGTCATTATTTCATTATTACAATTGACACAAGCCAAACACAACATACCTGAATTAGGACTTGGTTCGGATGAGGTGTGATTTGAGCTTTGCTGTTTCCATGTAGTTGTAATGTTCGTTTGGGGAAGTGCGGCGAAGGTAGTTGTCTTCTTTTCTGGTGGTGCACTGTGACCATTTGAGCGACCAGAAGATTCCTCTGTAGTGTAGCCTATATGTATGCCTAATGTTGACTCTTCTGCCCTAGATTTATTATTATGTCTAGAAAGTTCCGCAAAATTTGTAGACTGTAGACGCAATTCCGTTATATCACCATCTACACTATCACCCTGAAACAAAATAAGAACACACATTTTGAGGAACAGGACGTACACACTCCAAAATAACTTGAATTAAGACATGAATCGTGTATGGCACTTCTCATACAGATTGTTCCAAAAGAAATAGAAACAAATTAAAAAAACTGCCATGCACAAAATTCTCAAAAGCAGATTAAAACCATCTACATACATTTTTAAAATATAAAAAGAAATTACTAATGAAATTTGGCAGCATGGAAATTTAAAACAATCTTAGTCTAGGATGGGCAAGAATTACAGTGCAAATTTGAAGGTGCGATTGTGTACCTGCTTATAGGGTTTCTCGGGGTCACTCTTCTCACTGCCTGGTCGAGAGGGACCATTGAGCGTACCATTACTGCTCAAACTGCGGCCGATATGGACAGCAGGTTCCTTATCAGGATTACGCCCCAAGAGGTGCAAGTTTTCATGTGAGCCTCCGAAGTTTTCTAGCGTGAGCTGCAATGTGCACATAACCATGCATATAGAGTACTGTAGCGTATCTACTCAAAAACCCACAACAAACACAAGTGCTCCAATAACAGCGGTGGGTGAACAGGAAAAAAAAAATTTACAAAGGATTTTTGGCTGCAATGCAGTGTGCGAACTGATCTCCAAACCAAAGGAAGGAGTGTTTGCTACCAAAGCAAAACCAAAGAAAACAATTTCAAAAAACACAAAGCGACACGAAACAAGGAAAAGAAAAACACGCTACTTTACGGGAAAAGATGAGCAAAGTGCCTACCTGTGACTCTTCCGCTACCGAGTTCCTCCTGCTCCGCCTGCCGGCGTAGGAGCTCCTCCGCTGGTCCTCCCAGTTGCTGGGCCGGCCGGCGGGAAGGCTCAGCCCTCCGCCAGCGTCCCTGTCGGCCTCGCTCTCCGAGCTGCGGTCCCGGTCCCGCTGCCGCGTCCTGGCGGGGGCGGTGGGCTCGTCGCCGCCCGCGCCGCCCGTGGACACCGAGCTGAGCGTGGGGATGCCGCGGCCGCGGTGCACCGGGAAGGCCTCGTCACTCCTGCAGAGCGAGAGAGACAGACAACACGGGTCAGACGCAGACAGGGACAGGCACTCGCAATGGGGCAAGGCACTACGCTCCACCAACCTGTCGTCCAGAGCATCTCCAGAGCCCCTGTTCTGCGACCTCTTCAGAGATGACGTGCCAGTGTGAATTGTGGATTTCGAGCCTGGATACAGATTTAAAGACGAAAAAATGAACAAACTGAGTCTATGCTGGATACATTTTTAACTGACGATGCCACAAAACACAAAATTGATGTTGCCCAAAACATGGCGACATCAAAAGGTAATAAATTGTTAGTTGCAGGGAAAATTGGGAGACTGTAGGCGAGCAAATTAACAAGAAACAAATAAAAAGATGTAGCATCAAAGGGCAGGTCAGTACACTTTAAGCGCTATGAAAAGGGCTAGCCCCCCACCATACACTGCTTTCCTACAGATATTTCTGGAAGAATTTTTGATAATTTCAGACTGCACTATGAAGAAGCAGAGAAAGTTACCATAAAAATTAAAGCAGCTATCACATTACACAGAATAGATCAATCAATAAAAAATAAGTACACATATAATTTTGCCCCCCATAATGTTTTATCTATATAAAAGTCATCACTAGAGTAGGCATGAAGCAAACACCTCTAAGACAAACTAATTTAAAAAAGGGACCAACAGACACAAAAACAAGTTGTTAACAAATTGCTATTGGCACACATTTACGGAACCATATCTCACTAGACTAGTTTTAAACGGCCATGCATGTCATCCTGGAAATAAGGAGGTGGGGAAAGCAGTACTTAAATACGGACTGGGCTTCAAAATAAAAAAGCCAAGAGTCCTCAACTAAATTAAACTGTCTTAATCAAAGACTAAAATTCTAAGAAATGATGTGAAGGTAATACTTGAACTTTTAATTGCATTAATCTTCATGTAAGCAAGCACTTGAAGAGAAATGAATTTGAACAACAAAAAGGAACCATAATAAAAATTCATTTTCCAACACTAGGAAAATGAGAAAATTTATAAAATTGTATTAACAAGGCTAGACAAAGCATTGGTATTAACACGCACCCAAAGCTAAAAAAGAATTATTATGATTGGTAAGAAAAAGATAGTAAATATCAGACTGCCAACAGTTGTTGGAAAACTAAACAAGTAATACAGACTTGTTGGCATCCAATGCATACAGCTACAACTACATTCAGGGCAAATAGCGCACACAACAAACGGGGAGCAGCAGCAAGGGGTCAAGAAGAGACAGCTACATCTGCCCTGCTACACAGGCCGTGCAGTATTGTATTTGCTTTCAGCTTTCTGCTTTCAGCGCCCTCCATACCTGAGCCTCCTGAGCCTGAGAAGCCAGGACTGGAGATGTCAGACAAATTGCTGCGCAAGTCCGGTATGACGCTCACTGATTGAGGGAGGCAGCGCTTGTGTGCCACGCCTTGACTATTGCGTGGGTAAGCTGAACCATCCATGTCACGAATCACACCACGCCACGCCGCAAGAGATCAAAGTAACCACACCACATCATTAAGGCAAAAAGAAGCAGGTACAGTAATGGACACACAAGACCAGCATTTTGAATATTAAAACAGTGAGAATTTGGACATCCAGAAATGAATGTTGATTTTAAATGTTTCTGAAAGTTAAAATGTTTAGAATTTGTGTCCATTACTACACAGTGCAAAGGGAAATGGATCCGAGGTAAGAAAATCAATCTGAAAGGTTGTTATGAGACTGCCTTGGTTGTTTGGTGGGGAATTATAGGTAGATGAAAACACCATCACACAAAACATTTGTTTGCTTCCTGATTAAAAATAAATTATTTCTAATGCATGAGCATGCAAGGTGAATTGACTGTTATGTTAAGAAGAAAAAAAAATAACTTGAGGTTCCCTTTAAAATTATAAACATAATATTCTTCCAGCCCACAGTTGGGATGCATTCTTTATCATAACCACACTATTTTATTACCATTCTCATGAAACTATGTAAGGAAGACTTACCTTCTTTAAGACTCTGTTGCGTTCGCTCAGAACCAGGAAACCGAACACATTTTACAGGATGAATTTCCAAAACATTAAAAAGATCAGCTAGAAAGACTATTAAATTTTGTTGCATTGAGCTGGAAACATAAGGCAAAATTAAAAAAGAGGAAAGAAAAATCCCAATTAAAAAAGGAGAATAAGTAGTAAACCTTACCTGCGAAGATAAGAAATATCTTCAGGCATTAAATGGAAAACAGAGTGAGGTAAACACCGCAGGCAAAAGTCGTGAACCAGCATGAGATTTTTAACAGAATCTGACACAGTTGGTAAATAGCTGACAACAACATCCTTCCATGGCACTTCTTCTGGACAGTAAAACGAGACGAGTGCAGCAAGACCAACACCGTCACTGAGGTCCTTTAATTCCTTTATTTCTGGGAATTGCGGAGTTTTTGGTTGATTATCCTAAAAGGAAAATTAAAGCACCACCGTTATATTATTGTGTATCCTTGTTGAAGACAAAAGACGGATGAAGGCCGAGACTCACCCCGCCTCCTTGCTGCTCCGATTCCTGTTTGATTTTCTGTCTCAAAGCTGCCACCGCTTCTCGGACCCAGCTCAGCAGGGCGTACTCTGGCTCCGCTGGGGCTGAGTCCGGACTGACCCGAGCGTGGTGACTAAACCTCTGGATGGCGGCCTGCACCCGGTCAGAGGTGGCAACTTCCTTAGCGTACAAGATCATCATTGCCTCCATCATTGACACATGGGCGCTCTGAAAGAGGAAAATGAAAGTTAAATAACAACTCCAGCGTCTGCAAAGTATTTTAAAGAAATTCCAATAAAAAACCATGGGCAAATATACTCACAAGTTTCATTGGATTAGTTTGAATGAGGACTGTCTCTGTCATCTGACAATCAGCTGGTTCTGGAATGGTAATGCCCTTGCGCAGGAGGACTTGTATGATGCCCGAATGGTTGAGATTGTGAAAATTCGGATCTCCATAAATACTTGAGAGAGCAAGGCAATACAGTTCAGCACTCGCCAGCGCATGGACAATTTGTGGTTTGAGATGCTCCTGGTCCTGAAAGACAAAGCGGGCGTTTCAGAAAAAAATCAAAGTGGAAATAAGAAAAACGTCGACAGGCGACAGGGTCCTGCCACTCACCTCATGGTCTCTGTAAAAGGGTTCCCGGAAGTTCTCCGGGACTCTGTTGTTGTACGCCTTTGACAGAAGCCACTTGACCGAGGCACGCTGCTTCGCCTGCAACAACGTCAAACAAAACCACCAATTACAAGACCGAAAATGTCATCGCATGAGGGCTGCATTGCACGCCCGAGGCGCATTGCGACTTGCGTCCCGACGTCGCAATCGCAATCACAATCGCAACGCGACGCAACCCAGGCAAGGCAAGGCGATCATGAGCAGTTTGGGAGTGGTTCTGATGGGGCACTTCCTGAGCACAAGGACAAGTACACGCCCGAGGCTGTGCGCCCCGCCCTGCCCCGCCCCCTCGCTCGGATCTCGGCTAGCCAGCGTTGCCTAGCGTTGCGTAGCGTTATGGGAAGGGACAGCGGGCGCGACCGTCCGTCGCCCGCGCTCCAAAACAGCAGAACACAACACCACACCTCCAAAGAGGGAGGGTACAGTGCACAGGGCACCTTCCCCCATCCATCCCAGCGGGGTGAAGGGCGGCGCAGCGGCCCAAATAATTCAGGACGAGCAAACCCGGCCACTTCAGACCCAACACTGATAAAATTCCTTCCTACTGTATAACGCAAGTGTGCAAGTAAACAAGATTTGGATTTACAACGCGGACCATGCCCCACATATATGATTCACAGATAAATGCCGCTGGTTTGCATGAGTCGAAGCCAGATTGACAGATAAAAATACGATTTGTCTCCGGCCGAAATCGCACAGACGGTTCGGGCAGATTGTCCCCATTTTTCACGAACGCGTCGCGTGGAGCACGCCCGAGGGCAGGGCAGGCGCCTCGAGTCCACTCCAGCGACACGAGCGGCTAGCACGAGACAAACGAACCGAGTGCGGCCATCTCTCTCACTTTCATCCCTTAAAAGCCGCAACGAGCGGCGCGAGCGACAGAGACGGAAGACGCGCGGCCGGTCCGCGACGTAATGGGGTTAGCTCAGAGTCATCCCGCTGATTGGCCAGCAGGCCAGCAGGCCCTGCGTGGGAGGAGGAGGGGGGGGGGGAGACAGTGAGTGAATCTCCCGCACGCGTCTCCTCCACGGCCCCACGGCCTAGCCGCGCCGCGCGGCCACGGTCCTGGCGGAGCTCGTCTGGACCGTCTCGGCGGAGGGCGACGCCCCCGGTGCGGTGCCCGCTGCGACGCCACTGTAAGCAACCAGGCCGCGCCTCTTGACAGTGCACATGCCCACCGCCGTGCCGTGCCACGCCGTGGGGCCCCACACGAGTACGAGCTGCAGGCCGCGCGGCCGCGTGCGTGGAGCACGGTGTAGTAGGGCTTCCCCGACGTGGCCGAGGGCGCGCAGCGCGCAGCGCCACTGAAAACAGGTGCCCGGCCAGAGGGCCAGAGCCAGCCGCCACGCCGCCACGCGGACAAGAGGGCCGGCACGCCGGCACCCTGCTCGACCCACATCCAGCCGATGCACCACCACGGACGAGGCGACCGCAAGCACGACGACGACGTGCAAGTCAACATCGCGGCATTGTCGCGTTCGCCGCCGCCCGTCCGTCCGTCTGTCTGTCTGCCGGTGACGCAACGACGCCGACGGCAGCCGCGGCAAGTCATACACAAACGGCAGAGCAGGTCATGTTGGCAGACAGGCACGCCGCGCCCAACAAGGAGCCCCGAACAGAGGCCGTGCCGCCACGCCTTACCGACCGTATTTCGGAACAGTGGCGTAGGAAGCGTCGTCGGGAAGGTGCACCGCGCTGCACCGAGGCCCTGGGGCCCGAGGGGCCGCGGTTTGGTTTGTGGTGGCGGCGGCAGTGCAGTGGCAGTGCAGTGTAGTGGCAACGCGGCATGCGGTTTCTCACGGTGCCCCCGCGGTTCGGGCAGACGCCCCACCCCCCTCCTCGGCTCGGCGGGGCTCGCGCGCGCTCCGCTCGAACCGCTTCCAGGTTTGGCCGGTGAAGGGCCCCTAGATGAGGACGAGTCCTTAAAGGTGCGGAACCAGTCAGACACCTTCCAAACCTGTCCGGGCGACACTAGGGACCCATTAAACTCGGATTAAAACTCACTAAGCGCCCGTCGCTTCGTTCTTAAGGGTCCCTTAAAGCCATCATTAAGGTCTTCCGGGTTCTTCCATCATGCGCCGAAGGGCCAATAATTTTCCCCGACTGCTTCGTCACGAACAAGGCGTCGTCTCACTCTCTCTCACCGAGAAGGGCGGGCTCTGCTGCTGCGCCGGCCTGGGGCGGTGGGGGCGGCGGGCGGCTTCCAGGCGCAACACCGCCCCAGCGCGCGCGCGGTCCTGGGGGCGGCGCCGGGGGCGGCGCGGCAGAGGCGGCGGGGCGCGCGCGCACAGCACGTCCACGTACATGTACATGGCGGAGGACGACGGAGGGCCGCCTCACAGGCCGAGTGCCGCCGTGCAATCCATTTCCAGTGTCACTCCTTCGCGAAGCCTAGCGAAGCCGCGCGCTGCACAGTTCACTTTTTCACTCAAAACATTCACTCGGAGAGGGCTGGGAGCGAAAGCGAGTGCACGCCAGTGTGCGTGCGTGTGTGTCTGTGTGCGAGTGGGTATGCGTGCGCCGAAGGCAGGCGCCTCCGCCGGCGCCTCGGCCGCCAGCAGGGCGCCAGCAGGGCGCCAGCGGCAGGAGGTGTGATGCAGGAAGACTTCCCCAAACCCGCACGCGACCCAACGAGCACCGAGTACCGAGTACCCCCTCCCCCTTTTCTGAGTCGACGGGCATTGATCCCACGTCGATCCCACGGCCGGCGCCTTCGCCCTGCCGCCGTCTGTCTGTCTGTCTGTCTGTCTGTCTGTCTGTCTGTCTGTCTGTCTGTCTGTCCGTCCGTCCGCCGGGGAGCTACCGAGCAGAGAGGAATGCGCGAGCGAGCCACTCACATCTAATCGGCGGCTTGGCCATGCAGGCCGAGCGATCGCTCCGTCTCGCTCGCACTCACGGAGCGACGCAGCCTGCAGGGCCCCGCCCGCCATAAGCGTATTCACCAATTTCCCTGCTACTTGTCTGGCGGCCCCCCGCTGGTTCCTCCCCCCCTCCCCGCACACGTACGTAGGTACCGGCCGGCACCAGCCCGTCAGGCCGGGCCGGGCGGGGCTTTCACCTCCCCGCCATGAGCCGGCATGAGCCAGAAGAGCCAGCCATGCGCCAGCCATGCCGGCAGGACAAGCCATAAAGGCCGCCAGACAGGAAAGGGAAAAAATATAGGAAAAGGGCCCCATTCCCGCTGCACTCCGCCAAAGTGTGAGCCGAAACGGCGGGGCGGAGGGGCGTCCACTGTCAGGAGGGTCATGACGCGAAAAATCCTGGCATACATCCAGCGCGCAAAGTTCGTCACAAAAACCATAACTTCAAATTTTTCTAGGAACAACAGGCTGTGTTAAACACGACTACTTTCAGCTGACTCTACCACCGATATCCACTAAGTCATTGGCCGGAAGATTCACCCAAAGCCCTACACTATAGACATGGGGACTTTCGACGCTTGTGTGCGGAGCTTGTATGTGTACTGTTGGTGTGTAAGTGCGCGTGAGTGTGCGAGTGCGGTGCTTTCGCTGGGGCTCCGCGCGCGGCGCTACGTCCGCAAAATAAAAGGTCGCCCCTCTCTGTCGCTCCGCAGCACCGCAGCGGCGATCGACGCCCGCGTCGCGCGTGCAAGAGAGAGAGAGAGAGAGACGGCCTCTGCGGGGTCCGCGAGCACCGCGCGCGCAGTGAAGGGAAGAGACGGCGTGCACGCAACACCGGCGCAGCCAGGGCGTGGCGTGGCGCGGCAGGGCACCGCATTCTCTCTCGCCAACCGGATCACCGAGGACTTTGTACGGCTTGGGGCGAAACCCCCGCACACAGGGCGCAGAGGGTGCAGGGCCCCGATGCAGGGCCCCGGCCGCCGTCGGCTGACCCAGTGTCGTCCCACTGCAGCCGCACTGCCGTCGCCACACCGGTAGAAACATTTTTCGGAAAGGGAAAATTGACTCGGAGTGAGGCAAATTTACGTAGAGCGGGGACTCCACTGTGAGATGCGGGTTCTGCGAACGAAAGTTCGGCAACTCGTCAAACGGCCCAGCCCAATCCAACACAAACACACACACGCACGCACACCCGACGCGGAGATGCACAGACGGCGGCGACACGCTGCGAGTGGCGGTTCGGTTCGGTCCCGCAGCCAAACGCGATGACAAGCCGAGCAAGCGAGCGAGCCAAGGTCGCGCGGCGCCCGCGGCGACACGGAGACTCCGCGACTCGCGACTCTGCGCCCGCGGCGTCCTGGTGACTCGCCTCGCTGTGCGCGGAGAGCTCGGCGGCAACGACACGGCGAGGCGATCGGTCGCCGGAGGGGAGCCCGGCCCGGCGGTACAGCGGCACGGCGGCACAGCCTCGCGGTGGCCCGTCGGCCGGGAGGTCCCGCGGGATGGCACGCGCGCGGCGTGCGAGGGCGTAAGGGACTGGCGGCACACTGGCTGGGCGTCGGCGGCGCCGCCCGGCCCAGGGAAACGCCGCCGGGAAGGGAACCGGGAGGAGGGGGAAGGGAAAGGGAAGCGGCGAGATGCAAGGCGCGGCCCGCGGTCATTGCATCTGTGCAGTCCGTCTCTCTCGCACTCGCGGGGCGTCCCGCACAGCGGTGCGAGAGAGACAGACGTGCGGGTATGCAATGCATCTCACGGAGGGCCGAGTGCCGTCCGCCGCCGCGCACTTCGCGGAGTGATCACGTGCGAAGACTCAGGAACAGCCTTCTTCTCCCCCACCGTTAAAATAGGCAATGATTGGTGGTCTGCACCCCTAGGCCCTACACTGCTCGGATGCGTACATCACCACCGCGGGGCCTTCAAACGCGCCGCCGGCGACGAGTACAGTCAGTACAGTAAGTACGCCGTCAGCCGCCGCCACGCCGACAGCGCCCCGAACGCACTTCCTCCCAATGAGCGACGCAGATGAGACGGCAAAGTGAGACAAGCAGGCGAAGCAGGCCGTCTCTCTCGCACTCACGGGGCCGGCCCGCAGGTGGCGAGAGAGACAGTGGCGACGGCGGCGACGCACTGCTCGGAATCAGACGCCTGCACTGTCGGGTTGCAGGAGGGGAGATGGCT